CTCACAACCCCGGTGGGTCCTAAAGTTTGTATTGTTTTCTCATGTGTGCCCTATCCCAACGCCATAATCCACTGTTTGTAGTTGTTGATTGTTTTATTCCTCTATAGTTAATGTTGGTTTGTTTGTAGTTTTCGTCGTTGGTTGGTTGTAGTATGAAAGCCCCTTTTTTTGGTTCTTAGTTTGTTTGTAGTTTACTGCCCAATAGGTGTTGGCTATTTGTAATTGTGGTTATTTGTATCTGTTGTCTGATATTTTTGTGTGTGTGGGTAGTTGTTGGTTGTTTGTAGATGTTTTTGGTTTAAAGCTGGATTGGATATATTATATAATAAGCAATTAAACATTTGATGTGTACGTAAAATAATCGTCATGTTCAAATGCGATAACATTGTAGTCTCTTGTGATGAATCTATCGGTGGCAGTAGTATATCAGGACGTTTTCGATTATCATTCCGCGATGGTAAAGCTAGAGCCTATTTACAAAAATACTGAGTGGTGCAGTAAATCACTTGCGGTGCTATACTATATGAAAAACAGCGCTGCTATTTTTTTTTTTAAATTCAAAATGAAGCCCCCTGAACAAATACTTACATACGCTTTAGCTCTATAAAAAAAATTATAATTAAACACACCCTGATATTCTACTGGTGACCTGCTGTAGGTTTGACAAGAACGTTGGCTGTTGTAAAGAGAAAACACCGAAAGATAAAGAGAGCAGATACTAGTATGTACGTTTTGTCCCCAGAATGGGATGATATTGGCTACAGTTATGTTATTGGAGGAGATGGCACCGTGTTTGAAGGCCGGGGTTGGGACAGAGTCGGAGCGCACACTCTCTCTTACAACAGAGTTGGACTGGGTAAGTGTTGCATGACTTTTTTCATCCTCACCCCTCATGTTTCCTCTTCAACAGTTGGAGCAGGGTAAACGTTTGTTTCATTCCTCTATCCTTTCTTCTCAACTGTTTTTTCCCTTGCTGATTTCACACTATCATCTCATTATCATCATCATCATTATCATCATTATCACTATCATCATCATCATCATCACTATCACTGTCATCATCATCATCATTTTCTTTGCATAACATCACTCTTGTGACTGCCTGCGTGACAAGCTCTCTTTGTCTAGCCAATTCTCTTCATATGTGCTTTCATGGCCAGTGCCTCTTCAATGTTTATACTTTTGAATAACCTCAGCTTACTGCCTAAATCACAACATGTTGATTGATTAAACTTTCTCAATAAAAAGTGCGTATTACTGACGTGGAAAGCACGTGGGCAAAGGTGGAGACAGGTACGCAGAATGGCAAGCATCACTACCGAAGTCCTGGCTAGTTATCGTACAGTGGATATTTTCTCCAGGTCATGGAGGTGTGTTAGAAAATTAACAGACAGACAGATTAGCTGGTTCTGCACCACTCGGTGGTAAATCAATGAATGACAAGCTAGATGTGATCAATGCCAGTTTTTAGTGCCATCGGTTTATAATCTCTAAGGGTGACCTCTTGCTTTCAAGTCAGATCTTTTCACACATAGCACCTACGGTGCTAATTGTTGTGGCTGCATTCTTTTTAGATGACCAAACCATTTGATCTTCTGTTTCTCAGTGAGTTTACTGCATTGTGTTGTTCCTAAAGTCTGTCTGATAATTTCATTTCTAACTTTGTCTCGGATGGTTAAGCTGGCGGCTTTTCTCAGGCTCCTCATCCCACAGGTGTTGACTTGCTTAGGCTAGCCTTTGATAATGTTCAAGTCTGGCACTGGTAGCACAGTGTTGGTATGAATATGCTGTTTATAATCTGTTTCTTGGAACTCGTACTTATGTTTGAATGTCTTAATAACGGTGTCAGTTGGTACATAAGTGCACTGGCTCTTTGGCATCTTGTTTCCATTTCCGAATATATTCTTTCATCCTTAAAGAATATACTGCCGAATATATAAATTCTTTAACTTGTTTTATACAAGTACCATTTAATCGATGTGTAGCGGACTAGACATTCTCATCATTAGTTTGAAAAAACCACATCTTTCTCCGCTTCCAACGATTTTTTAAATTATTAAACATAAAAATTTTTTTTTTTTAAATAACGAAACAAAGATTATCAAAAATACTGTCGCCTCGCTGATTTCATTCACGTTTTCATTTCCTCAGGGTTTTGCCTAGCTGGCAACTTCATGACCCACCTCCCCACTGTCATTCAAATGGACACGGCCAAGAAACTGATTGCATGCGGAGTGTCCTTGGGGAAGATCTCAAGTAACTACACCCTGAGAGGTCACAGGGATATGGTTCCCACAACCAGCTGCCCCGGGGACCTGTTCTATAGTTTGATCCAAACTTGGGATCATTACTGATGACGTCACATTAAACAGTTATTGTGGGCGCTTTTATTTTAGTTCACCTCATCTCGGGAAATTCGAGAGTTCCCGGGAAAGTCCAATACTATGGGGGTTGTTAGGGTTAGGATCAGAGTTAATTGATGCTCATTCCGCACCGCTATAACATTTGCCTTTCCCTGGAAATTCTCGGATTCCACGAGATCGGATGGAGTAAAATAAAAGTTATCTCATTGTGAACTGAATCATCATAGTCATAATCATCATGTGTCAGGCCAGGTGGTGTAGGCGCTCATGTCTCTCTAAATATCTCGGTCCTTGGTATTCTGAATTAATTCCACTGATGGTATCCCTCCATGTTATCGCTTCTTGCCGCCCAGCAACGTTTCTCTTGGTCTGCCCCTGCCTCTCCTAACGTTTATCGCGTTGAAAGACTTTAAATGAGATACCTGTTGTGTGACTTGAACAGTAAAAATTAAAAAAAAAACATCGGGTAAATGTAATTTTAAAAAATATAACAATAACTACAAAGTACACTTTGAGGCCAATTTATAGTTTCCAATGAACTTATCAGTTTTTTTTCAGTTGCTGAAGTTAGTTTTCTTATCTTGAGCAATTAATTACTAACCTATTACATGCATGCTGTTTCAATATCGAAAGCTGGGCTTTGTGTGTGTGCGTGCGTGTGTGTATATATATATATATATGTGTGTGTGTGTGTGTGTGTGTGTGACAATACCGGTTCGTTTTATGCATCATTATTGTGATAGAGACTTTGTGGCGCATACAGCCACTTTTAATTAGGCTCCCTGTGGTGAGTACCGGCGCCGTTTATGCACCATTATTTTCAGCACTACTTTATGGTGCGTAGAGGCATCTTTTATTTTACGTTGAGGAGTTAACTAAGTTGCGTATCCTTTACAGGACGTTGCAGAACCAACCCCAGAATGTTTTGGCTGTTGTGGTTTTTCTAGGCAAATTTTACGTTTATTAGTTTGCCCTTGCTCAGTGAACTATCGGCTGTCGGAACCTTTGACGAAACCAACACAAGACTGTCAGAAACCAAAACATTTGCTGCTGGGTTCGAACCTGGCACTCCACATTACGAAGCGAGTTTGAACACCTAAGTCACAGACGCCTACTAGCGGAACTAACCACTGCTTTTACGGTCCTGTTCACGTTTACCGGCCCATCTACAAACTACCGGACCTTCCATTCATACTTTCTCAGACTCTTCTACGTCGGAGGGGTGTCGCGTTGTCTTGCCTCCAGTTACATCAGCGCCGACGTCGCGTGTTCTATGCTACACAGCCTTTGACGACCTCATAACATCTAAAACTCGCCTTAACCCAAACCCCACAGCCTCAGGCTAGGTCACACGATAGAGACATTTCGAAGAAAGCAGTACAACCGGACACCCCTCTGACCTAGATCAGATTTCAAAAGTGTGTAGATGGGCCGGAAAACGCGAACAGGTCCTTTTTACTAAGCCCTTACATGCAGGTCGGGGAGCCGCCGTGATGTAGCGGCTAGAAGCTTACCGGCGGATCCTAAGGCCGTAGGTTTGGGTCCTGACGAAGCTGGACTTTTTCTTTCTAAAAAATGACCTTAATTCCTAGGTCGACACAGCCTGGAAGGGTACCAGGTACAATACTGGGAAGTAAATGCAGTCAGGATGATGCTTACCACATTACTCCCCCCCCCCCCCCCCAAGTACTGACTGACTTAGAAAATATAGGTTTAGCCCTATATCTTCCTGGTACCAAACTGCCACAGAGAGCCACGCTGAGGAAATATATTGAATACAGAGCAAGGGGAAGACCACACAAGATATGGAGCGACAACATCAGAAGCAACCTAATAGAAATGAACACCAACTTGTACAGGGCATTAGAAAAAGCGCGCAAACGATCCTTACCCCCCCCCCTATACACACACACACACCTAATAGTGGAAGATAAGAAGAAGAAGAAGAAGAAGAAGAAGAAGAAGAAGAAGAAGAAGAAGAAGCCCTGTATAGCCCAATACGTCTAAACGCGTGGGAAAGGGTCCTTTTATTTAGGCATGTGCGCATGTAAACGGGGAATGAGATAACTTTAGAAATATGACACCGAAAACGCCTCTTCTCATCACCCACAGCAACACTCATATGAATAAAACATGGAAAGGGGGGAGGGGGGGGGGGGGGGGTTGGCAGGGAGTTCTGTCCGACCCCGTAATATTTGTCGGTTGGGACCTCAAAGTTTCTAAGCCTTGTTTAAATACTGAATAAAAATAATAGTAATAATAATAGTACTATAATGATAAAATTAGTCTCAGTTTAAATAATGGGAAGACAAAAGTAATGGTGATTTCCAAGAAAAGAATAGTGCCTAAATGTGTAATAAAAGTCAAAGGTGTGATTTTGGGACAAGTACAGAAATTTAAGTATCTAGGCACGTGGATAACATCCGATGGAAGATGTATCACAGAGATAAAGTACAGAATAAGACAGACCAAAACTTCATTTTGTTAAATGTAGAACATGGTTTGCAATAAATCCATGTTGTTGGAGGTTAGGAGAAGAATTCTCACATGCTATATAGAGCCAGTTTTAACATACGGCTATGAAGCCTGGACAATTAATAAACAAGATGTTCAATTTCTTGAAGCCGTGGAGATGTGGTTTTACAGAAGAATCCTTAGAATACCTTAGACATCTAAGAAATGCAGCCTAGATGTTTAGAAAGAGGCGTGTGCTGAATGGCAACTTATCACAGACATTAGAAAGAGACAGTCATCACTTTTTTGTGTGATCATGTTATGAGAAGAGGGAAAATGGAACATGCTGTGGCCACTGGAAAGATCTGTTGAAAGAGGGGCAAAGAAAGCGCGAAAAGATTCTTGCCAGCCTATTATCATGGAATGGAGGGGTGCTACATGCAGTTGCAGATTGAGGAAAGGAATGATAGCCAATCGTCAAGACACTTGAGAATGAAAAGTAATAATGTATTGGATGGCAACAAATATAAAAATGTACTTGAAATAAAATGACGTTTATTAACGGACACGATGACAATTGGACCGTGTGTGAGTGGCCGTGGTAAACAACTATACAAAGGATAAGATTAGACAAAAGTCAATGAACATTGTTTCTGTTAAACGTTTACAAGAGGGTATCTAAAGTAAATGCCCGGCTCTCTAGCGTAATTGGCTAAACCGGATTTCGCGGAGACCGGGTGACGAACTCCTTGTGGTCCGGGTTCAATCCCGGGGGTAGGCAGAAAAGCCACATTTTCTCCCAGATTTACGGTATCTACAATGGAATCAAGGCCGAAAGGTTTCGATATCCATAATACCGAGCCTAAGGGTTAACAACTCGTGGCTTCTGGATACTAAAACAAACAATCTAAAGTAAATAACCTAGAAACTTGCTAGCTAACATGGAGGTAAAACTTACAAAGAAATGCTAATGATGGTTGGAAATCCGAGTCATACATTTAAAAAAAAGGGGGTCGACCTGTGACGCCCATTATCATCATAAAAATCCATGAAGCCAGCAGTGAGTTTCGATCGAGGTACAATGGAATTACGAGTCCGACTCGCAACGCCTAAGCCATAAAAACGAGGGATCGAGTAGCCGAGTTCGCCTTAAAGAAACCCTAAAACGAACGTTGATGAGAGAGACCAAAGGTGCTGGACTGGACACACGATCGAAGGCAATATAGGAATAAATGAATGAATGAATTGACATTCCCATATCTGCCCCTCCCCTTCTTCGGTAGCCAATGAAGAGTTGATATGCTAATAGTACCAGTTGCAACCTGTTTAATAGTCTGCTTTCATTTCTCCCTTAAGTGTTGAACATCTTCTAGAACCTGTACTCGCCCCCGTTAACTTAGTCGTTCAGTGTATGGATTCCCTATCTATTCTTTCCCACACTAGCTTTATCAAAAAAGTAGATCATCGCCCAAAGGTGCGGCATCAGATAATCTATCAACCTGCTCGTTAACTCGCACATCTGACTGAATAGGGAGCCCTGTGTGACATATAAAAGCACAAAAGGGCAATGATGACGCTGATGATGATGATGATGTATGGTTATGGCAGATGTAACCACTGACAAAGCCTGGCTACCGAAGAAGGGGACGAAGGACGAGTGAGAATGTCCCAAGTGCTATGGTGTCAGTTCATGATGCATTTATTCATTGACAGCATGGTAAAAGGAATCAGCATTAATCATTGGATCTTTCATCTAAGTAATTGACGATCTTAGGACACTGTCGGACCACAGAATAGAGATCAGCCACGGCTAGGTGCTCGGAGAACAAGCTGTCGATCAACATGCAGGAGGAGCACTGGTCCAGGAAGTCCATGATGGCAAGGTCTGCCATTGTGACCTGAAGCAGACGTGAGGAAAATGTTTCGCAGGCAATTCACATATTGTGATTGTTGGTGTTGTCGTTGTAGGTGATGATGATGAAAATGATGTTAAGATGATAATGGTGATGCTGTTTGCGTTGTTGCAATGGAGGATGATGACGTTCTTGCTGCTGCTGACGTTCTTGCTGTAGGTGTTGATGTTGCTCGTGTTTGCCGATGTGTATGTTGCTACTGAAGTTGCTCTGACCGACAGTTGTCCAAGAACCCTGTGCTTCGCGATGCTCATTCTTGCAAAGCTGACGGAGTTGAGCTGAGCTAATTCAAGAATCGACATTGCAGCACTCAGTTCATTACCATAAGCGCTCCATTACCACCTTCAGCAGCTAGCGCAAAGTTCCAGTTCCACTGATGCCAGTAGCAGTCCGATTATACGTCCTATTGCCTTTTCTCTAACCGTCCAGTATCGGCCAGAGCACCTTGTCACTCCTCGCTGTATCTTTCTCACCAGACTGTAATGATCGATTTGCTCCTCCGAATTGTATACATGCTTCCACGTCTGCCTTGTCATGCATCAATATTTCACCATGTTGTGCAGAGCGAGCCAGTCTGTACTCCTGTTTATTTTCCAACATACCGGCATACCCTGTATAAAAAATCAAGGCAGTGCTCTTCATCCCTGACCTCCGAAGCGGTAAATATGCTTGCCTTTACCATTCTCAGCCAATGCTTTCTGACTCAAGCTGGCCGGTTGTGGGAAAAGCGATGCTCGCCCAAGGCCATGGTTTCCCGGCGTCGACTTTGTTCGATTCTCGTGTGGGTTCTGGTCCTCTTTATCGTCTGCGTGATTAGAGAGGATGATCTCATTCCTTTAAAACCCCACGGTATGCATGTCAGACTGAACCACACAGACCTGAGCCCATTCTACAGGCCTGCCAACTGTACATACAACTAAGAAGAGAAACCTGGCCCTATGAGCGAAGTATGCAGAGCAAGTTACGGGGAAACACAATGAACCTGTAACTGATAGGCGAGAATTCATAGAGCAGTGAAAATAGGGTTAACTGCAGATAAGCTAATATCAAGAAGTTAATCCAGAAAACTGTGGGTCAAAAGCTTAACGAAATGGGGAATCAGAACAACGTGCACTAAACAACACAAATCGATGTTTTGGCCGAGGCCTTTCTAGACAAGAACTGAACAAAGGGGAGAGTACCCCAGCCACTAAGAGGTCACGTGAAAAACTATAAAAAAAGGTGATAGGAAATGAATAAAATAAAATTAGGGAAGTAAAAAAAAATATATATTTGTAAAAGTAATAGTGATAATATAAAATAATAGCAGGAATAAAAGAGTAGAAATACAACTGTTAGTGATTCACAATAAAAAAATCAAATTAAAATTATGTGACAATAGTTAAACTGTTTAGATGAAGGTAAGCTAGGCGTTGATGCCTCCTGGACTAACACACCCAGACTGTCCATGAGGCAATTTTCCAAAGCGAGACAGACCACCTGAAGGTCTGACCTCAACATACAAAACCAAACGCAAAGAAGCAGAAGACATCTTGCATCGTGGTAACCGCAATGCTGGGCTGGCTTCAGCATCCCCAATGTCTTCCCCACTTCTTACGTTAACCGAGATTAATGTCTGTTTCCAGTATACCCAATTAGAAAGGGAAAAAAGGGGTCAGGGGATGAAAGAAGAAGATGAAATTGATCGTGATGAACCTTTCCTGTCTTCTCATTCCTCCTTTAATGAGAGAGCATGACTCGTTGGCCCTAGGCGAAAATCGCCCTGCTGCAGTTGGCATTTTCAGCGATGCTAATTATCCCCTTTAGTCATGTCAAAGGCGTACATGGAAATCCCTACTCCAATTAGGTCTAAGCTAGGAATTAGTCAACATCCCACATCACTACAAGCAGGTTACAATATAAGTCTTATGTTTATAAGCATATAGAAGTAACACAAACACAATGTCATTCGTTGTCTTATTTACAAACTATGACAAACATGCCAATTCCATCAAAATCTTGTCCAACCAGCCTATGGGCCCCATTGTGGGGTAAAGAAGAATAGACCGACTCCCCAACAAGCATGTAGTAAAAGTCGATCAATTGTTGGCATCCTTCAAAGTCGAGTGCATCTGCCCCCAGCGGCAAGGAACAGCTAACTGCATACAAATAAGCTAGTAAAACGGAAAACGGAACTAGACGCACAACTCAGGCCTGGTACAAAACCTAGTCCAAAGGTACAACCAACCAGGACTTTCCGCTAGGGAACATATAGCCAGCAAAGAAAGAAAAGGAAGAAGACTATCCATGGATGCGTAGGTGAAACCTAAGGACGTATAAGTGCAACCTACGGTATTTTCTTTACTAATCCCCTCCCCCTTCCCCTTTCCTTCCTTTCCGCCTCCAGTAGGGAAGCAGGCCACCAAATGATAACCGAACACCGCCTACTATACTACTGATGATCGCAATACACAATACACTCACCCCGGATGCGACAACGAAGGGTCCTCGAGTCTGTGTGATCAGTTGCTCCCATTCTTTCATTGCAGCTGGTAGAATCACATGCAGCAACTGGCTCTGAGCCCATTCCTAATTGGTATCAACAAAGGGAAAGGAATGAGAGGGAGTCAATTAGCACTGTCAATTTACTGAAATATTTCTGACAGACAATTAATCTTTCCTGTAAAAAGCATCCATTTGTGATAGTATGATTGATTTGCATTCTCTAATTGGCGCCGATGTAGACTTTCTGTCAATCTGGTGGATATGCAGTCTTACCGTTTTTAATCGTGGCAAAGATTTTGCTTTTGGCAATAGTTAGAATTTATATTTTCCTCTACATTTAGACTGAAAAGATATAGTTCTGTTGACCAGCAACTGAGGTGAGTGCATGACACGGCACTCTAAGGTGCAGATTTCAATGCTTTTTAACTGTGCCCATCGTGGTTTTTGTCAGTGGTGAGAACTGCAGATAAAAAAAAAAAAATAATGAGCGGCCTGCTTGCAGAAGATTGGTGGTGCCATGCGATTAAATGCGTGTGCAACTTGTGATCTATTGTAACTGCTGCTTTCACCGATGATTAACTGCATTTCGGACATACACCAATAGTGATCATGTTCCACTTTCACAATAAAATTGTAAAAGTATCCTCATGTGGTTTTGCTTCTTTTTTTCTTCCGTTTAACTCCTCTAACTTTCAGTTTTTCTCAGACATTTGCCTCAATTTGTTGCTCGAGGATAATCAAAACCATCTACGATACCACTCAGGCTGGGGGTGGTGGTGGTAGTAATGATAGTGTTGATAATGATTACAATGACAATTGTCATGAAGATAATGATGATGATATAAGCGATGAAAGTTATTTTGCACCAGAGACACCTTAATGGTGTGTATGCAATACATCCTTGGTTTGCCGGTTATGTCAGGTAGGCTCAAGTTGCTGCAGGCGAAATCATATCTCAGAGTAGCTACAGACACAGATCATCCTTTGCACGAAGCTTCGGACCCAGTTAAGAGTCAGCAGCTGCTAAGACAGAAGTCACGGATGGTCAGGCAAAAGACACAATCAGACAGGCTGGCATCCTGGAGACCATTAGGCGAGGAGAGGAGTGGGCCTAATACCCTGTTGTTGAGATATAGCTCAGCAAGAGATAGTCTGTATTTACCCCGTCACTACGCTACAAGATCTGTTTGCTGCCTATCTCAGCGGAAGTCCGCTTTATATACCTGTGAGGTGGTTGTGAGATTACACAAATATTGGTTAGTTCTACGTTAGTCTGCCCCCAAAAAAGTAGGTCACTTTTTATTCACAATTTTGTTGGGCTGGTCGACTTTCCTGAAGTTAACGGATGTGCCCCGCTCAGTTGTTTAGTTTCTGCGAAGTCTTTCATTTACGTTTTTATTTCGATAGAAAGAGAATGCATGTGACATGGGTTGCAGCACTCTTCGGGAGACTTGTGTTATACCCAGTTTCTGTTTTTTTTTTTTTTTTTTTTTTTTTTGTAAGCTTTAAAAGCGCTGGCGTGCTGAAATATACAACATGCGATATCAACGGCATTGTGGAACACCCCTGTAACCTTGTGCGAAGTTACGGGGCTCATTAACTACCAATCAGAAGTGAACTAGTGTGTGATGTGGGGTCTGATGAGACTAAAGTCGAACTAACCCAAAAATTTTGACCTGCAATTTAAATATAATTAGGTATTTACTTACAGTGTTTTGTAGCTAAGCGTTCTTGGCAACTTTTAACCCCGCATGCTATTTGTCCATTCATAAAGGGATGGGTTCAGATCTTTTGACTGAGAGGCTTTAATTAAGTTGCCTCTGGAGAACTGGAGTGGTGGTAACAACCACACACAGTTGTTTAATCTGCAAGACTGGAATCATTCAATGACTCCATTACATTGCCTGAAAAAATTGCTAACTTAACCACCCTTTACAGAGCTAGAAATGATACTATCAGACAGGCTCTAGGAACAACACCATGCCGTACATTCATTAGGAAACAGAAGATCAAATGGTTTGGCCATGTAGTAAGGATGCAGTCAACGCGGTCGCTGCAGAGGAAAAGATCTGAAGTGAGAGCAAGAGGTCGCGCTAGGAGAACATGGACTGATGACATTAAAGAGCTTCTACATCGACAGGGAATGATAATAGTCATTTTTGCCTATCAAGCAATGGATCGCAAACTGATCCTCCCCACGCCGTTTAATGGCAGAAGTGGAAAGTGATGACGATGAATGACGAGAAAGATGCAAGTGATGATATCCTAGCAGAAACTTAGAGTTATCTAACAATGATAAAGGCCGAAATGCTGGGGTGCGACCCACCTGTCTCTCTTTGTTCTTCTCTCCAGTCAGGACCCAGTTAATGGCTCTCTCATTCTGTCGCTTCACACGACGGAGACGCTCATACGTGGCTTCTACTACCAGATGCTCATCGTTGGATGCTCCCATCAACACTGCCGGAGTTCAGAATATTACTGACTTGGTTATGTCATTTTATTTACTTTGTATTGATTATAGATTTCTAGAGGCCTTGGAGATAGGGTTTTACAGAAGAATCCTTAGAATTCATTGGACAGCAAAACAAAACCCACACCCACCCACCCACCCACCCACCCGCCCGCCCGCCCGCCCGCCCGCCCGCACGCACGCACGCACGCACGCACGCACACACACACACGCACACACACACACGCACGCACGCGCACACACACACACACACACACACACACACACACACACACAGCAACCAAGATATTTTTAAAGAGGCGAGAGCTCGAAGACAACTTATCACAAACATCAGAGTCCGTCATCATTTTTTGGTAATGTTATGGAAAGAAGGAAACCGGAACATGTTGTGACCACAGGAAAGGTCTGTGAAAAGAAAGAAGATGACAATTTGACAAAATTCTTGAGTCTTTTTTTCATGGCACAGAGGAGTATCGGCACACGAACTGATACACTCAGTTGGAGATCGCAAATTGTGGAGAGTCATAATCGCCCACGTCAGTCGGCAAAGCACTGGATGATGGCCACTGATTACTGGTTTAAGAATCGACATCATAGCACATCGGGCATACCCATTGATGCTCCGTCTCCCGCAGCAAATGTCTGATGGTGTGGATACTAACTGTTCCCGTAACACACTGTATATACACACGTCGTTCTCTTCCTCTCATCCGTCCCTCCTTGCCGAATCCGCTCCTAATTCACGTTTACACATTTTTTCACTTGTTATTTCCTCTAAATTCGTGTATATCAGTTCCTGTAAAATGGCGTGCTGATGCTTGGTTCCACTCATGCCACATTTGTAAATTGTAAATATAAACACCCCTTCCCCCGCCCCCTTTTTTTTTCCAAATTTGCATCCAGTAGGATCTACATCGCACGGGTGAGACCAAACAGGTAAAGAATAGGGAAACCGGGTTCAACCATATAACCATGTGGTTTAGGTTTAAACGACAAATCAAAGTCATGCACAATGTTCGAAACCCATAAGTACTCTGTTCTAACTCAAGTCAGAGTCTGAAGAATCGCAGCGCAGTGCATGAACTTCGTAGCACTGCCGATGATCCTGAATACACTGGGTAGATTTTTTAACTCCAAATTTGTGTATAGCCATATGTTCCTCTTATAGTCCATGCAGGAGAGTTCGCAAAAAGAAAATACTAACATCGATTTCTCAGGGACAAAATTGTTGCTCTAAATAAAATATGTCGTTTGGAAACAGCAGAAGAAAGAATGTTGAATGTTGAATTGAGAATTGACATCACGGCACTCGGGACACTCCCATCCGTTCCCATCTTCAGCAGCAAGCGAAGAGTTAAAATTCCTATAGTACCAGTAACTGTCTGATTGTATATTCGTCTCGCCTTTTCCCTGAGTGTCAAGCGTCGGCTAGATCCCATTGTAACTCCACGCAGCGCCATTCTCCTCAAAACGTAATGATCTATCTGTTCCTCGTCACTGTTTACTCGCTCCCAAAGGGCCCTCCCCCATATCATTATCAGTTCTCGTTATGCCTTATGCGTGGCACATGAGGCTTCAGAGAGGACTTTCCATGCTTTCCTGTCCTGTCCCTCATATCATGATGTCAAACTGTCCAGCATCTTTTTTCACGATCTCACTCTGCATCTTTTCCCCTCCAACTTTCCCACTGCCGCGATGTAAACCAGTTTTCTCCTTCTCATCACATGTCCAAGCAATGTAGATTATTTCCTGATGATAACAGGCAGGACTCTTTGAGAGTCGGTTTCTTTCAAGACATCCTCATTACTTGTTTTATCTGTCCAGGGTATTTTTGTCGTTTGTCTATAAAACACAATCTCCGCAGCTTCCAGTTACATTCTCATCCGTGTGGGTTTCGGAGCCCTATTATAGGGAAAACAAGAATAGACCCACTGCCTACCCAAAAGTATATCGTCAGAGTCGACTAACTTGGAGCTTCCTTCGAAGTCGGAGTGCATTTGCCTGAGAGGTAAGGAATCAACAGTCTGCGCACAAATGTGTCAGATCTGTCAAACGGATGCATACGCAACACTCAGATTCTGGAACAGGACTGCAGTCCAGAAGTGGGCGAACAACCAGAACTTTCCACCAGAGATTACAGCTGGTGAACGCAAAAAAGAAGAAGAGAGAAGTTACATTCTGGCAACACAAAGCGGTTACGATGTAATAGCTAGTCCAGAGTAGGTGGTTTGGTAATGCTGATTTATCCATTTTGAATATTACGTTTGTATACTTCACCAATCTGGTAGTCGTATTGGGGCGATATGTAGCACGCTTGCCTACCGATCCGCTGGTCTAAAGTTCCAAACTCTGCTAAAGCGAATTTTAAACTTGGCTTACACTCCCAGGTGGATTCAGTCTAAAATCTATTCATTCATTGTCTTGTTGTGTCATTTTATGTTATATAGGGCTCACAGTCCCTTTCCTAAACGCTTCTGTGCAATCCCTTTGTTTTTATTGTATTCTCTCATCAACATTTCCCTTAAGGTGTCTCTTCCTCAATGCTTCTTTTTTCCCATTACGGTAACATTTTGGGGGCTGTGTGGTAACGAGGCATGGTGTCCGCCTTGAGTGCTAGAGGTTCCGGGTTCAATCCCCGGTAAGGGCCGGGATTTTCACGTGGACTTGGACTTCTAGTAATTCCCCTGGTCTCTGTGTGGTGAGATCGGACACCCGTGTGTATTGTTGCGCGCTTAAAAAAAAATCTTTTGCCAGTTGAAAATCGAAAAGAGTTGCCTAACGGCGCTGCCCGGGCAAAATGTGGAGTTAAAAGTCTGCCTAAATTATTTCAGGATCCTCGCCGGTCCTACAGAACCTGTGCACTGTGCTGAGCTTCTTCGGACTCAGACTTGAGTTAGAAGAAAGAACGGAGCACTTTTGGGTTCGTATGCCACGATGTTGATCCTTTGTTCAAACTTCAAGTGACTGTTTGGTGATTATCTGTTCGTTTCCTCACAGGATATGTTCAATAGAGCGCCGCATTTTTCCTCTCCTCAATTTGTCCCTTTCCCATTTCAGTGCCTGTTGTGTCATGAATGAATCGAGAACTGTCATCACTGCACTGGAGATATTCCCAAACAAAGAGTCGACCTGCTATTTTACCATTGCCACCTGATTAAAACTCCGCTTATGTTTTCCCCTCTATGGTGACAATCTTTCAGAACCTATACATACCCCTTGTTGAATGAGTCTGTCAATGTATTGGTTTACTGCGTTTTCTATAGCACTGTCAGATATCAGAAAGCCTTTACCATGGCCGCTTTATTATATAAAAGCTCACCGCCCAGAGAACGGTAGCAGCTAATCCATCAGCCTGCTTGTTACCTCGCACACCCGAATGTCCTGGACAGAAAATCCACGATAAGTTCCTGAACTGAATCTTATCTAGTGGTGCAAGCCACTCTGCACTGTTCTGCTCAACACTCGCACTGATTACCAGCTGCTCTATGGACAGTGACCAAGGCACATGGGATCAACCCTGGCGCAGTGCCGTGGATCCTCTCACTTTTAAAACACGTTTAAAACAATAACAACTTAAAGGGCATACAAAGAGACTTACAAAATCGTCTGGCAAGCACTCGGACAATGGCGCCCTCATTGCCCCACTGTTTACCACACTTGGACAGGATTGGCAGGCTGTAGTAGGGCGTGTCTGTCCAGATTAGGTTTGTGGGTGGTGACAACGACAGAGTGGCAGGTTTCAGTTGAATATGAACATAACGACAGTTAAAGAAAAACAAATTAGGTATGTCCACTACAATGACAAATTTGAGAACTACGTTATCTGTTTAATGGACTTCAACTCGTCTAAAGAATAACTTCCAAAAAGCTGGACTTCAACTCGTCTAAAGAATAACTTCCAAAAAGCTGTCCGTCTTGTCTTTCCTCAGAGCCTCGAGCATTGGACAGAACCAATCGTCACTCCCCGCTGCATCAATCTCAACAGACTGTGGTGATCCATCTGCTTCTCCGAACTGTAGGCGTTCTCCCACAAAGCACTAACCACGTCTGCCTTATCATGAATCAGTAGTATTCCACCAAGTTGTGCAGAGCCAGCTAGTCTGTCCATCTGTTTATTTCCCAACACACCGGCGTATTCCGTGGAAAAAATCCAGACAATACTCCTCACCCGTGGCCTCGGAAGTGAAGCATGCCACTCTTCGCGAAGCATGAAGAATAAATTCCTGCACTGTCTGGGTTTTAGATTTTACTAGGCAATTTTACGTTTATTAGTTTGCCATTCCTTTCTGATGGGTCGACCTTCACACAATTTTACAAATTGACGCAAAGCGGTCTGCTATCAAATCAACTACAGCTGGAATCGAATCAGTTGTCTCGGAATTATAAACTGCATTTGCAATGTGCCAAGGTATTAATTTTTGTTCTTTCCCGTTGAGTTTATTTATGCTGTCACTCTCTGTTCTGTAGTTTCCATTCTGCTTTGTCCACTCCATTTTGAATATATGTTTTATGATGTCTTTGTGAATGAGATCGTGGAAGATTGGTCCCAGCTCCTGCCAACTCATCTGCTCTCTCGTATCCTCAACCAAACCATTCGGCGAGTGTCGAGCCGCTTAGCCGCTGCAGCTTCCATGAAAGTACAAATTTGCAAGATAGCTACTGTATTTAGTGTCCCCTGTCCCTGTCGGGTTGATTTATCCCTGCTTCCTCTGCTAAGAACCTGTTGCGCCATTGCTGTTCGAAGCCATTGGGAAGCTGAATATGGTCGAGCGGACGAACCGGCAAAGAATGCACCAACGCATGCGGGATGAAGCATTGGCAGAGCAGGTATCATTAACGCTGTACGGACTGGGCTAGTGGAAAATGACGAGTCTCTGAAATTAACATGATTGTTTGACTTGGGAGTAAAGCATTGTGTACAGACAGGTGGGGGTACATGTATCATAGGGCGTATAGGCATCTAGATAGCAACCGTCAGAAGGCTCTGGCATGGCTGGTGGAGCAGAAAGAAACTCCTGCATTGATAGTGACAGACTCAGCGAGCTTAAAAAAGATATAAACTAGCAAACTGCTTCTAGGATGGATGGACAGCATCCAGAAGTTCCGCCTCCCTAAACTATCTTAGCTGTACACACCAGGTCACGTAGGGGCGAAAGGAAATGAAGGAGCTGAAGGATGGGCCGCAGTGGTCAGTTGCGGAAGAAATATGGAGAGGCAGACGTACAAGATGCTTTACGTTCCAGAGGCGTTGAGACAAAGGGTCAAAGGTGATGAAGTGCCTGTTGCAAATGTGTATTTAGCGAGTACAGTCATCGTCATGGGTCGAGAGGCGGGTGGCAAGATCAGAGTACGTGTGGTGTGTATAAATGTTATTCTACTTGCACTGACCGCCGTGCTTATTTGTACTCCTCATATTTGCCTCCGACTCCCTGAGCTTGATAAGTACCAAGAGTTGTGAATACTGTCACTTAGTTCATTGTTAATACACTCAGAACACATTACCACTGCAATCACTGTTATGACCACAACACAAACAAACTGAATCAGAATGTGGACACAATCCACACGAGATCGTCTGATGTAGATACAACATGTTGAGATCTTTACTTTTACCTTTATTATTCGGTTATTTCTACATCGTTCTAAAAGATATTATCTAACGCTACCTACAATGGAATCAAGGCAGAAGGATTGCGATATCCATGGTACGGAGCCAAAGGGTTTACAATTCATAGTTTCCGAATACTTTAAAAAAAAATCTAACCTAAAAACTAAAACCATTATTCATGAGGCATGGCCACACTACAGTTGTCTAGACTGTCGCTAGGACGTCTGGTTGATGACTGTCCCCAGCCGGTTCACACATAACGAGCTCACTTTTCTTTACTTCAGGTGGTTCACGTGGCCTCTGTGGTGTGTGTGCACATCATGACAACCACATGTTTAGTGCTTTAACAGCAGTCCCACATTTCCCCCATCTCCATCCTTACCCCGATCATAACTATCATGCAAAATTTGGTTGCTGGGGGAAGAAAGAACATATGCTAATTAGCTATTTATCACGTAGGAGTCGCCTTGGTGTATCACATCAGCCACCTAGTGCCGACTGGTCTATAGAACATAAGTCTAGACCAGCCGTCACGATCCTTGTGTGTGTGTGTGTGTGTGTGTGTGTGGGGGGGGGGGGGGGGAAGCCGAACCACCATTTTATAGAGTTCGCCCGAGACCATCGGAAAACAGATATTCACTGAAGCTAAGAAGTAGCAACAAAAATAATTGTATGGTTGGGGGTCGCCACAACGCGAAGAACTGTATTAAAGGGTCGGGGCATAAGGAAGGTTGAGAACCACTGGTCCAGCCCTATGTGCCTAATACCTCTTAAGACGTGGAAATGGGTCCTTTTTTTTAAATTTTTACTTGGCATGCTGAGCATGGAGACATGGAGAGAGATGCTGCATCGGGTGACAGAGCTCAAGTAGGTAGGACCGATATGCTGAAATGTTGATACGGACAGTAAGTATAACAGTAACATTGAGTAAAGGACCCTTTCCCACACCTTCAGGCGTATTGGGCATACAGTGCTTACCTATATTTTATAGACCAATTGACACCTCGGTGGTTGATATGCTCAGCATCAAGCCGGCCGCCTTTACTATCCAGGACGTTACCTAGTGCCCATCCAAGGCTAGGTCGACCTGGGTGCCAATGTCATTTTAAAAAAATCAAGCTCTGTCAGGGCTTGAACCCACGACCTTCCAATCCGCAGGCTAGGGTTTAGCTCCTACACCATGCTGGCTCCCTAACTAGTGTGGATATACGTCTAAAGGATGTGGTATACTTGGTTTCATTTCCTCCCACTGGTCGCTGGTGATTCTCTCATCCTCAAAGGCTTCTCCGGCATAGACGAACAATAGTCGGATGAGCTCCGAGTCCCTCTTTCCTTCCAGGGTGGTCAGCTTGTAGTTGGAGGTTGCTAGTCAGGAGGTCAAGAAACAGTTGTCAGTTGCTGGTCAGGAGGTAAAAAAGCAGTTGTCAGTGGCTGGTCAGGGGGTCAAGAAACAGTTGTCAGTGGCTGGTCATGAGGGTCAAGTAACAGTTATCAGTGGTTGGTCATGAGGGTCAAGTAACAGTTATTAGTGGCTGGTCAAGAGGTTCAAATATCAGTTATCAGTGGCTGGTCAGGAGGTCAAGTAACAGTTGTCAGTGGCTGGTCAGGGGGTCAAGAAACAGTTGTCAGTGGCTGGTCAGAGGGTCAAGAAACAGTTGTCAGTGGCTGGTCAGAGGGTCAAGAAACAGTTATCAGTGGCTGGTCAGGAGGGTCAAGAAACAGTTGTCAGTGGCTGGTCAGGGGGTCAAGAAACAGTTATCAGTGGCTGGTCATGGGTCAAGAAACAGTTATCAGTGGAGGTTTTCATGACATCGGGGTCATACAACGTCCAGAACGGAAGAAGAAAAAGAGAAGTATCGACACTTTTACAAGTTAAAGGTAAAAGTAGAGAGGATTCACCTCATTGCACCGAGTTTTATCACATTTGGGTTGGTCTCTCTCAGCGCAACGACTGGCCACCTGTTGAGGGCATCGTACAAAGCACGAACACCGTATCTCTAGGAGCGATCATAATCAATGATGTCACAAAGTAAAAGAAAAGAATACACAGTCAAAGAAGTGAAGAAGAAAGAGAGAAGAACAGAAGGAACACTGATAAGTGAAGAGCCACGGGAAAAAGAAAAAATGCAAACACAATCAATGAAGATGTAAGACGCAGACATAAAAGAGAGAAGAAGGAGATAGGGTGGGGGAAGACAGAGAAAGTACGAAAGAATGAACGAATTTGATCCTCAAATGGTCTGTCACAAACTAGCCGAACACCCCTACGCTGGTTGACTTGCCCACATCTTGCAACCATGTGAACAGTGATTGCTGTGACGGCAAGTATCTGGAATGGAAGGAAGATGGCTGAACCAGAAGTGACCCTGTATTGAAAGATCAAGCGGCTGTAAATACTTGTTGTACTATGCTTCAGATGCGAGATACCAGTTTAAATGGAATGCCTAGAGGGAAAGGTAACTGAGTCAGTATTCCGGCTGTGCTACTGGTGTGGCAGTAGTTGTAACTGATCCATAGATGCACGAGTGAGGTCAGCAACACTTGTTGCAACAGCAATAAACAACTTCCTTGTCAATCTGAGTGTCGTCGCCAGGTATGTTTCCTACTAACGTCATCCACCCAGAAAGGAGAACCCAGGGTCGCTGTGGGTCCAGGAAAGGCACACAGAGTACATCATTGCACGATTGGTGCCCGGGTGAGCGGGGTATCTCGCATCTCATTACCCATCAGTCTAGATAGAGATTGCGAGTCATGCCATTTGCTGTAATCATCTTCACGGTACGTGCTGCGCATGGCATTTGTAACGTTATTTCTGACCAGTATAGGACCAGCCATAGCAACCGCAGTGTCTTCAAAAAGTTCTGCACGCTCGTTGCCTGAAACATCCGCATACCCGGCACAAGGACGAAGGTTAGGCCAGCTATTCGTGAAGTGCTTAGTGACCCGACTAATTCTTGGATTGGATGGATGGAGCGTCACTCTTTACCGGATAATACGTATCTCGTGTATGTGCGCGCGCGCGTGCGTGTGTGTAAGTGAGTGTGCGTATCTCTCTCTCTCTCTCTCTCTCTCTCTCTCTCTCTCTCTCTCTCTCGGATTCCCGGGGAAATGTACCATGGAATGGATCTGTGTCTGGTTTCCTCACCCCAAGCCTTTCTGTCCTGCTCCAGTTTGAAGTCAATCAGCGCGCTGACGTGTCTCTCCGCCTGTACCTCCCGCCACATCACGTTCAGCATCGGGTCGTTGTACTTTTCCGCGGACTGGGAGGGGGCGCCCTCGTCGCGGCCAGGCTCCTTTTGAGAGTCGAAAGTGTTCGATTGACTGTTCATCCTCTTCAGCTCCCAGCTTTGTTGCTGCCTGGTACGGGGGACAGTTGGCGAGTTAATAGTCTTCATTTTGAACTGTTTTAAAGAGAATCGCGTGGCTACTGAAAGAAAGACAATTTTTACGTTCAAAATCTAATTTAATGAGCTACTTACTTGTTGTCCATATCTACATCAAAGCACATCTATCCGACCCATTCGTGCTAAGCAATGCGAGGCAGTTTCCATCTCATGTCTCTCCATGCTCGCCGTACCCAGGAGGAGTTGATTAGCAGATCTGCTTTACTTACCCCGCAACCAGTTTCTACATGCCTGTCATTTGGCACGGTTGGAATTATATTCACTAATTACGTCCTTTCATGACGTAATTTTTTGTTTTTTGAAGCCCCACCCTGGCTTTTGCCAGGGGCCGCAGTATAGGCAGCCCATAAATATGGCCATTTGTCTGAACGCAGTTTCTGCGACCTCTCCACGGCGATCCTCATCCACATTTTAGCACTTTGTGTCAGCTACGTGCCTGTCCTCGTTTAATTCCCATTTTCAACAGGCGATGAAGTGTCTCTGACTCTTCTGTCTCAAAATCTCTAGAATGCAGCAAATTCACTATGTCCGCCCTGTCCCTAAATCTTCCTCCATAAATCACTGCAGATACGGCCAATCTGTCGTCTGTTTCATTTCCTTTCACACTGCATGTTGAGGCCAAGATAGTTTCTTGAGGCGGGACTTTTGAGTGAGTTCAACCCATTCTAGTCGAAGTTTGCCAGTTTTGGGCCTTCTTAAAAATGTGCACTGAATCACTGAGCCATTTGTAAAGATAATTACGTTACCTGGTCGAGTGTCATCGTGAGTGAGTGAAAGTATTCAGATTGCAGACAAGAATACCCTAGGGCTCAACAATTCAGATGACAATTCTTTTATGTCTGGGACATCGAAAGTTTTTAGAAGTACCGGCTTTCCTGTCAACTAATAAAAACCTATCCAGTGGAAAATAAGTTATGATTTAGGAACCGATATCAAAGCACTCGAGATATTCACATGAGCGCCCCATTTCAGCATTGTCGGTGTGGGCTGCGTATAAAACAAATAAGTAGTTGCACGCAATAAACTGCATTCGGCCAGTTGTTATATGGCAACACGCCACTCTCTATTCTCTGAATCTGCAGTTTACGAAACGATCACTCTGGTTGCAGTCGAAAAGCACTCCAACTGAAATTTACGGCTCATAGTGTCCTGCCTCCTTGATAGGATTGAAATCAGCGATGTTATCAGTGGCATTAAAAGGTCGGGTGGTACCCGGTGCGGAACATTTCCTGTCACTCCTACACACACACACACACACACACACACACACACACACACACACACACGCACACACAACATTTTGAAATGTTAAAAACACAAGATGTTTGTTCCCATTCTGTCACCGCAACCATCCTTCCAAACCTTTCCAGCACTCACTCCCCCTCCCCCCGACATATCTCTGCTACGCCTCTGATGTTACATCAGTGATTGTGGTAAAACTGGTGGCCCTAGACCAGTGATTCTCAAATGTGTACCGCAGCGCCCCGGGAAGCCGGGACCTCTTCACAGGGGCGTCACGAATTATTCGAAGATGCTGGTTTTTTTTCCCCCTGTCTTACGTACGAATAGTCCTACTTTTACTTAGGTTAGGGCGCCATGGAAAAATTGTTATTGAAAAAAAAAGGTGCCGCGACTAAGAACAGTTTGGGAAATTCTGCCCTAGACGGTAATGGTGCTAGACGAGGACAAATAACAACACCTGAAGCCAACTCACCCGGGGTTCTCCAGGCTGCTAGCGGTGCTGCCACCCCAGGGTACATATTTGCCCGGGTGGATTACCTGCAGGCGCAGCCGCTGCTGCAAGCTGGAGGTGGCCTGGTCGTCATTCTCCTCGGTGGCTGCCTGGGACCGCTTCTTTCTCCTTAACTGATGGAATTTCATCTTGGCAGCTGAGTCAAGGTCAGATGTCTTCTTGCAGGGCAACGGCTATCTTGCCTAACGACAGGGGGGAAAACAATCAAAGATCTTTTATTGCCAGGCATATAGTAAATAATCTATCGGTACATCTTGTTTTGTTGGTGTTAATTTCATGTTATGCTCTATGCAAATTTTTTTTTTTAAATTGTATATGGTCTTGCAATTCAGTTTCTGAAGTATCAATTAGTGCTTGGTAGTCCACGAATAGTAGTTCTTTGTGGAAACTGGCTTTGGCTCTTTATCTCCTTGGTGTATAATAGTCCTTGTTTGGTTTGTTTCTTTACAGATGTAATCAATGTATGTTATGAAGAGTAGGGGATACATAACACAACCTTGCTGTACTCCAGATTTTATGGTAAATGTTTCTGAGTGTCCTCCGTTTGTTTGTAACAGTACATTCACTGTTGCTACACAAGATGTTATTAACGAAGTTAAATAAATAACAGCTCAAGCAGAGGCAGTATTTTACACAATGAAGAATACTCTATGCGGCCCTTCTTTGTCACTGGAGACAAAAAAGGGAATTATCAAGAGCTATATAAATCCTATCCTGATAAAAGGAAGTGAATCGTGGACAGTAGGTCGATTAGTGAAAAAAATTTTGGAAGCTGCGGAGATGTGGTTTCATAGACGAATAATGAGAAGACCCTGAACAGATGAAAAATGGAATCATGAAGATGTTTTGAAAGACACTGACTCACGTCAACAGAAGGAAACTGAGTGGTCTCGGGGTATGGCATCCGCGTCGAGAGCTGGAGGTCTCGGGTTCAAACCCCGGTGAAGGCTAGGATTTTTTCACGTGGACTTTTAGTCATTTCCCCTGGTCTAAGGGTAGTTAGACAGGACGCCTGGGTGTACTGTTGTGCAAGTAAAATATCCCGTGACAGTTGGAAATTGACAAAAAGTTGCCTAATAGCGCTACCCAGCCAAATTTAGAGTTAAAAAACTACCCAAAGTATTTCAGTATCCTCGCCGGTGCCAGGGAGTTCGTGCGCTGAGCTGAGGTTGTTCAGGCTCAGGATTGAGTAAGAAGTATAACGGAGCACTTATGGGTTACACTCGTGTGACATGATGTTGATCCGTTGAATAAACATAAATATAAACAGGAGACAATCTACATCCTTTGGTCAAGTCATGAGAAGGAGAAAATTGGAGTACATCGTGACGGTAGAAAATTTAGAGGGGAAAAGAAGCAGATGGAAACCGGGACAGAGAACATGCTGGACGGTTTGACATAAGGCATGGAAGATCATCTGTGTCAGAGCTGACGGAAAGTACACGAGACAGAAGGTTGTGGATTAGACATGACTATCAATACCACACGGAATAGACTATTTAAAAAAATGTGTGTCAAATCTGACGGAAATTACACGAGACGGAAGGTTGTGGATAGACATGTCTACCAACACCACACGCAGGGCAGCATTTAGACTTTATAAGGCCCTAGGCCATATAAGGCACCGAGGCTCCAACGGTTTTGAATTATACGAGTTAATCTTAGGAAGGTAAAGTTACACAACAACAGGGGTAACCGTTTCGAATCCCGGCTTTCAATGTTCATGTTTAGTGTTTGTTTAGTGTCCTTACGTCTTTTTTTTTTTTTACCTCTTTCTATAAATGCTTATCAATACATACATATTTAAAAGCAATATTTCGCAGCTGTAATTTTAACAAATGTATATCGTCAGGTGCATACTACAGTAAAAATTATCCCCTCATCCCAGAAAAAGCAAATAAGTGAATCCTGTATAAAGGAAGTAAAAATTTAACCGCACTAACAAGCAACTACCTGTTTTACCAGGGCAAGTAGCAGTTTCAGAACCACATCTTTCTGTTTACAAACTTCAGGACGCAGGTAACGCATCTATATCTATAAGATATATATATATATATATATATATATATATATATATATATATATATATATATATATATATATATATATATATATATATATCTATAACATATATAATCATCATCATTATCATCCCATAACTATGTGTCGTCGTGTCACCAGTTTCTGTAACTGTCTGATGAGCTCTCTCCACCTTTGGCGGCCAGTTGCGATGGACTTGATCGTTGCATGCCTGAGGCCTGTCCAGTCAGGTTCTGTAACCAGGTCTTTCTTGGTCTATATCTTCCCTTGTTTCCCTCTACTGAGCCCTGCAGTATTATTTTTGAGAGGCCGTTAGATCTTATTACATGTCCATACTGTTACATTTTTCGCCTTTTCACTGTAGTTAAAAGAGGTTCATAGTTGCCGATGTGCTGTATACTTGTAGGGCGAACCTCTTCGTTTATAATGTGGTCTCTGTATGATAAGCCAAGAATTTTTCTGAAACATCGCAGTTCTAAATCTTGTATCTTTCTTTCATTTTCAGCTGTTTAAGTCCACGTTTAAGGTCATATGTAATTGTACTGATAGCTAGTGCTTTGAGCAATCGAATCTTAGTTTTGCATGATTCGATTGCTCAGAGCATTAGCTACTAGTACATTAACATATATGTATGTATGTGTATATATATATATATATAAAACAAATCTGTTTATTGTACGAGTACATGTTATATGAAATAGAGGGCTAGTGCTACTTCTTGGTATAAACGTTCGTTTTGTATTTTCAATTGAGTTTTTAGTATGTAGTGTTGAGTTGAGTTGAGTTGAGTTAGGAATTAAGATCACAGCACTCGGGGCATTCCCATGCATGCTCCGTCCACATCTTCAGCAGCCAGCGCAGAGTTCAAATACTGGTGGTACTGTGAACAATCTGGTTATATGTCTGTCTTGCCTTTTCTCTGAGTGTAGTAAGCCGGCAAGACCCTCTGGTTACACCCTGGTGCCTCATTCTCTCCAGGCCATAATACTCTTATTTCTCTATTGATTCCGTTGCGTGATTCCAAAGAGCTTTGACCACATCTCTGTTGTCATGTATTAATTCACCACCTAGTAGTGCAGATCAAGCCAGTCTGTATGCCTGTTCTTTACCCACTACGCCAGCATGGCCTGGAGAAAAGATCCAAAGTATGCTCACTACCCGTAACCTGCCCAATGAAGCTTGCCACTCTACTCGAGGCATCCCTGTCTTCACCTTTCTCAACATGCTCTGTGAGTCTGTTACAATTACGACATGTGTATGCATCTTGTTCTCTAGCCACCGGAGAGCTGCAGTTACAGCCTCCACCTCCATTCTCATGCTAGATGTTGTAATGTCGAATGCTAGGCTGTCTTGCACTAAAAGTTATCTATTGCTTTCGCTTTTAGTATGTAAGAACGAAGATTAAGAACAAAATATGTATTCACTTTGCACACCATCCTGTTTATAGCTCAGACGATACAAGTTAGTGCCTGAAATTCCTGACAGTACACCGGAGGAAAATCACCGTGCTGTGTTTACGAAAGCGGGTGGCCCATGATTTCTAAATCATCAACTGCAAATGATAAAAGTTGTTTACCATGTTAAGTTCCTAGACGGCCATTTTGTATCAGCGGGGGCGTGGCACTGTGACGTCAGCAAATATGGTTGCAAACATGGAGACAGCGTCACTTTTCTACACAAGTCCCCATAGCAACCATCATGATTTCCCAGTGTTTACTTTGTTCATTGTTCATGACAGCGACACTCAGAGAGACACATTTCACAGATCACAGAGTTCAACTTTGTTTAAACTAAACATTATTAACTATAGCTATAACTCATATTTGTTCAGAGTAACAGAACAGTTTTCGTAAACGACAGAGTTCTCCAACTCTCAGAAGAGGAAAGAAAGATACAATTAGGTTTACTTTTGTACTCATAAAGGTAAGCTTATTTACAGGACAACTGCGACATAAACATGTCCCGAAAACAGCTTGCAATGTGCTTACAAAATATTGTAATTAATAAATATTGTTTTATTGATGAAAACATAGAAGTGGTTGGTAAACATGTAAAAACTAAGAGTGAAGGAGATGGGTACAAAAATCATTATTCTTCCCCCGGAAGGAATCACAGAGGGCGGGAAAATGTTTCAACTTGTGCTTTTTTCGTGACGTGGACAGCGAAAGTTGTAAACGTCTGCTTAAAAATGGAGAAGGTCAGCCTCAAGGAGCATACTCAAAAGAAGGTATCATCGCCGATCTCTCGGGGACCAACTGTAGCCCCAAAGGAAATATGTCGTCTGGTCACGGCGGGAGAAAACTTCTGGGTGAACGAACGGTATACAGGCATTCTTTCGATTGTTTCATTGCTTTTTCTTCTCTTAATCCATGCTTGTGGCGCGTTGGTAGCCATGTCGTTCCACGGCCTGCTTTTTTGTGTACTTTCTGTCAGTTCCAAAACAGATGATCTTCTATTCTTCTTCTTCTTCTTCTTCTTCTTCTTCTTCTTCTTCTTCTTCTTCTTCTTCTTCTTCTTCTTCTTTCTTCTTCTTCTTCTTCTTCTTCTTCTTCTTCTTCTTCTTCTTCTTCTTCTTCTTCTTCTTCTTCTTCTTCTTCTTCTTCTTCTTCTTCTTCTTCTTCTTCTTCTTCTTCTTCTTCTTCTTCTTCTTCTTCTTCTTCTTCTTTCTTCTTCTTCTTCTTCTTCTTCTTCTTCTTCTTCTTCTTCTTCTTCTTCTTCTTCTTCTTCTTCGTCAGCATTCCGAGCCCTTGAGGTTCATTGCTGCAGATATCATCTGCCTCCATTCATCTCACTGGGAGCGATGGAACAGTGCTGAAGAAAAGATAGATCATTATGGTCTGAGGGAGAATGGCACTGCGAGGAGTTACAGGGGGATCTGGCCGACGCTCGAAACTCGGGGGAGGGGCGAAACGGATACACAATCAGACTGTTACTGGTACCATCGGAATTTTAGCTCTGCGCTTGCTGCTGAAGATGGGGATGGAGCGCTTATGGGAGTGTCCCGAGTGCTGTGATGTCGATTCTTAATTCAACATTCAACATTCAACATTCATCTCTCTGACTGGCCTTCTCTTTCCAGTTGGTGACACCAAGAGTGTGCAGGTCTGCCTCGTGGTCTACGACCAGTCATCTCCCCTGTGTATACAGTTTTTACTTCTCTGTCATCTGACATTTCCTCAGTCTAATAACTCTCATGATACCAGTGATCAAGATGATCTTCTATGCAACAATTAATTAAAGACTATCAAGCCTCTTCTCCCTCTGCTTCTTCTGTCCTCCAGCTTTCCATTGTCACGATGTACAATAGTTTTCTCCTACTCCTGTCATGACAAAGAAATGTACACTGTCTCCTTCTGATGTGGGCAATCAGTTCTCTTCGTTAGTCAGTGTCTGTCAAAACATATTCATTACTATGTGTATCTGTCCAAAGTATTCTCATCATTAGTTCATAAAACATCTCCGTCGCGTCCGTCGTTGCAACAGACTCCTAAAGCATGCTGATGAAGGCAAAGGCAGGGATGCTATGAGCAGAGTGGCAAGCTTCACTAAAAATGACACCTCATGTTCTTGTCATTCCCCATTAACTGATCCATCCATTCATGGTCCCAGTGTGCCACCAAACGCCAATTAGGGCTCGCAGTCTTGTCCTCCATTCTGTTTTATCCTGTCCAATCCTTCCGATGTCAAGGCTTGAATCCAGTCCAGCAGCTTCGGCCTCTCTCATCCACTTTCGTTCTGGGGTTTCTTCTCGACGTCCTCGCTACCCAATCTCTTTATTTTTCATTTCAGTGCCTGTTGGTTGATTCTCCGCTCGTTTCTCCTCAGACTGTGTCCAACATAGCGCCACCTTCCCTATCTTATAACTGCTGCTACCTGTGGTTTCCCAAATGTCTCCCTTCCAGCAAAACAGTAAATGAATAATAACATCCTCATTCCTACTTTATGTTATCAGTGCCAAACATAGACAATGAATAGGGCACTATGTAACACAGTTAAGTCATTACTTGTTTGTAGGAAGTGGGTTATTACGCAGAGTTATGGTGTACTGAAAATCAACAAGTTTTGGCAGCCTTGACATTCCCTTTTCCAGAATCTTCTTTTCTCGCCAAAACTAGCTGTTGACATCAAACTGATGTTGTCTGGCCTTGGCCTTCTATCTAGAAGTTTTGAAATGCATTCTTTTCATCATGTGACCCAACCCTGTCGTACTAGTAAATACTTTGTTGTCGTGCCCTATCAAAGCAAATGCAATTGCACTTGTTTTCCTAGAAGCTTCTATTGATGTCAGTTGTCAGTTTAACTACCATATTTGTGTAGAATAGGATGATGCAATCTGATTGCAATCGAGATATTTTTAGAAAATCCCACGTGAGAACATACCTAATAAACAAGTTGAGGTGTACTAGAATATTCTAGAAGCAGACAAAGCGAGAAGAGAACAAATATCTAGCATTCCAGCATCCAAGTATAAATAGCGAGCAACAAAGCACTTTAGAATTCTTCAGTCCACAAGACTCAAGAAAGGAGAGACCAGTCATGGACTCTCAAGACAGCCTTCAGTGGTAGAGATGTAAGCCCAACACTAGAAGCCTTCAGTCGTTGAGGCTCAGAGGAAGAGCGACTAGTCTCAATGATCCTTGATGCCAGCTCAACACTGGAAGCAGAGCAGCCGTTCATATTGAACCTCGAAGACAGTCACTGGAGAGCAGACATGAAACGAGACATCGAGCTACAGAGACGACACACAGGATACATGGATCCATAGTTAACAGAGACACATTATGAACACTATAGAGTCGACGATCAAGCCGTTAGTACCAAACAGCACTAGAAGCCAGGTGGCAGTTACAGACACTAGAATCAGTTAACAAAGTAACTACAAATAAAGAACACAACACGACCTCAAGAGTAAGAATACAACGCGAACCTACGAGTATTTAGCCTTAGAGAGAACACAGCGCCATTCAGAATATTATTGATGTATTTGTGTCATTGCTAAAGTATCACAATAAAGACAGTACAGACAAGAAGAGTTGTTTCCAGGCGTTTTGTATACAAGCATCAGAGTCACATGAGAAGCATGCAGATAGCAAGACATCATCCTCATCATCGCCACTATCGACACGACCATCTTTCTCCTCGTCTATAATCTTCCAATCGACTACTCCTGTAGCAAAACCTAAAGACGAACCTGGGTGTGACAACGACAAACGCAACGAAGAAGAGAGCCGTGCTACAACTAGAACAGAAAATAACTACAAGGAAAATATATGCTTTCTCTGCAAGGTCACTCACGAAACTAGACGAGACAGGATTACGAATTCCAGCATTAGAGAAAAAGTTCTAATAAGACCATGTCTGGATTATACTGAGGTCAAAGAATGAAATCTTTCAGCCATCTAGTGCGAATGCAGCCAGATCAGACTGCATATGAGACTTTTTCACAGTAGAACGTCGGGGAGGAAGGCAAGAGGAAGACCAAGAAAGTTAGGGATAAATGGTGTAGATGAAGCCTACAAAAAAGTTGAACAAATCCATCACTCAAGTCACCAGAGAAGCGCAAGACAAATACAGAAAACCATGACACTGGGCTACAACCTGGTAACAGTGAGACAACAAAAGAAGAAGAAGAAGAAGAAGAAGAAGAAGAAGAAGAAGAAGAAGAAGAAGAAGAAGAAGAAGAAGACCAGTGGTTTCCCTGATATTTCTCTTAAGTTCTTCGCCACTCTTGAATTCCTCTCATTTAATGTTCAGCATTTTCTTCAGGCATATGTTTTCAAATGTGTTTAACTTTCGTTCTATGATATACTTTCCACCTACTATTTTTTTCGTTTTTACAGCTGGGCATGCGCAATGGTGGAACTTGGGCCCCAGTTAGAAGACCTACGGTCGAAAGGACTGTTCTGTGACGTCACTATGATTTTCCCCCAAGATGGCCGCAAGATGCACGTGCATCGAAATATTCTGGCCAGGTAAAATATTATTTCATGAACGCTTTAACCTAAGGTCCTATACCACTTAAGTTTTCCCCCCCCCTTCCCCCCAACCCCCACCGCGCCCCTTTCTCATACATGTTTGTTTAGACTAGTCACCACTAGTTCGAAGTTATTTCTGCCTCCGACAGCGCTTTACTCATGCAGTTTCCACGTATGGACGCTGCCTGAGCTGCTGAGCTTAGTGCTTGGTGCAGCACTGCGTACTGTGTTTTTCACGTGAAAGGCCTTTCATTTAAACACCCATTTCAGACTTCGTCTGCCCCCTCAACAGAACCATCTGCATAGATAGTTACATCACCTGGGCGGAAATTATCTTGAAACATTGGTTTAACTTCTGTCCCAGTTAAAGAGGTAATACTCTGACAAGTTGTCTTGATGATAATTTTCATTATATATATATATATATATATATATATATATATATATATATATATATATATATATATATATATATATATAATATATTGTAGATATATAACCCATATACCCCGATGACAATGTAACGGATATTAATACTATTTGTCGAGATAGTAATTTTCCAGCTCACCCGATAAGTGACCCAGGAAACAAGAGGGCGAGTGGTAAATCTGACTTGTTTGGAAATGTCCCGTTTTCAGCTATAACTACTAGCGAAGTGTCCCGTTTTCAGCTCAAAATATAAGGGGAATGTCTCATTCTCAGCTCTAGATAATATAGTCATTCTAATTCCGTTAGTGTTTTAAATACCGTCTTCAATATCGTTTTCATAATTTGCGATGCACAAAGTGATGCGCTGTGCAAAATTCACGTAAACTCGATGTAACAAATCCTCATTGCTGTTACTTTTAGACACATTCACTCTTTATTTCTAGTCTATCAAGAGTATGAGGACATATTAGTTCTTATCTGTTTAGCGACCACATCATGCGTGGTTTAGGGACCTCCCATTTTATAGGGGGGGGGGGGGTAGGATTAGAAATAGTCGCCATTCATTTAACGACTAACCCTAACCCTTATTGTCCTATAAAATGGGATGTCCCCAAATCATGCGTGATGTGGTGGCTAAACAGAAAAAAACATAAATATTTAATGTCAAGTCACTAAACTCATTGTGTGTCTCTCCCCGCGCCTCACGTGCCAACTTATCAGCTGCAGCCAATACTTCCGGACGTTGTTTACCTTCAACATGACGTCATCGGCACACATAGAGGTGGAGATTCCCGGAGTGACGTATGCCGACATGGAAGTAAGTCTGTGGGAAACTACCCCACTCAACTGTCACTAAGATGCTTAACGAGGGGAGAAAGATGGACAACGTACACACACAGGAAACATCGGACATTTCGGGCGGAGCCTTTCTAAACACACATACGTACACTCACAAACACACACAGTAACAAGAAGGGAGATAGAGGGGAGGGGGGAGTCACGGAATAACTAAAAATACAGGATGAGGAAAATATGAAGTTGAAACAAATAATAGATTTGAGTGACGTTCAACCATCTATCTATCTATCTATCTATCTATCTATCTATCTATCTATCTATCTATCTATCTATCTATCTATCTATCTATCTATCTATCTATCTATCTATCTATCTATCTATCTATCTATCTATCTATCTATCTATCTATCTATCTATCTATCTATCTATCTATCTATCTATCTATCTATCTATCTATCTATCTATCTATCTATCTATCTATCTATCTATCTATCTATCTATCTATCTATCTATCTAATCTATCTAATCTATCTATCTATCTATCTATCTATCTATCTATCTATCTATCTATCTATCTATCTATCTATCTATCTATCTATCTATCTATCTATCTATCTATCTATCTATCTATCTATCTATCTATCTGTCTGTCTATCTGTCTGTCTGTCTGTCTGTCTGTCTGTCTGTCTGTCTGTCTGTCTGTCTGTCTGTCTGTCTGTCTGTCTGTCTGTCTGTCTGTCTGTCTGTCTGTCTGTCTGTCTGTCTGTCTGTCCGTCTGTACGTCCACCTATCTTTCTATTTATCTATTAGCCATCCGAAATTCATCCATCTGTCTGACGGTGTCTATCCGTGTATCTCACCATACTTTACACACACACAGACACAAACGCGCGAGCGCGCATACACACATACAAGACCCACACATAAAGTATTACTCTCCTCTTGTGATTCTATCGTCATGCGATTCCCCGCCTGCCTAGTTGACACTGCAAAAACATGTACAATGTTTAATTTCGCCTTATATAACCCAGCAACAAATTGCTTGACCCCTACAGGCCATTGTCCAGTTCGCTTACACCCACAAGGCGGACCTGAACGCCAGTAATATAGAGTCCATCATTGTCACCGCAGACAGGCTCAACGTTCTGGGGCTGCTCAAGGTCAGTTTACCTTATATGGTGTGAAATTATAAAGACCCCGCCATTGTTCTTACAGCTTGTAGGTGTTGTTGTTAAGGATTTCAAGAGTGGTAAGCACGTAACTCCGCGGTGCAGACGGTGTCAGTTAGAAAAGTATGTACTGTTGTGTACGTGCAGGTTTGTACTGTTGTGGACTTGCAGATGTGTACTGGTGTTTACCTTAAGATGTGTACTGTTGTGTACCTGTTAGTAACGTACTGTTGTGTACGTGCAGATGCGTACTATTGTGTACGTGCAGGTGTGTACTGTTGTGTACCTGTTAGTGTCTGTGTACTGTAGTGTACGTGCAGATGTGTACTGTTGTGTACCTGAAGATGTGTACTGTTATGTACCTGTTAGTGTCTAGTATACTGTTGTTTACCTGTTAGTGTGTAGTGTACGTGCAGGTGTGTACTGTTGTGAACGTGCAGGTGTGTACTGTTGTGGGCTTGCAGGTGTGAACCCTGGCGTACTTGCAGGTGTGTGAGGACTTTTTGCTGGAGCAGATGAACACCGACAACGCTATCGGAATCTATAAGATCGCCAAGTATCTGCACTGCCGGACCCTGGAGACACACACCTGGAGCTTCCTGCTAAAGAACTTCGTCACCCTGTCCACCTACAGTAACGAATTCCTCCAGCTCACGCCTGACGAGCTTGTCCAGGTAGGACCAGAGACTTCAGATTAACATATTTTTTCTTGTCCTTTTCACGCATTTAGACGCATCGGTCACACTTATGATGGATGGATTGTTGGATGGATGGGTGGATGATTTTGTTGGATGGATGGATAGATAGATGGTGTGAGTCTTGTGTGTGTGTGTGTATGGGTGTGATTGTGTGTAAAATAAAGTGAAATACGTGGATAGAAACCGACAGATAGATGGGTGGATGTATGGATGGCTGCACAGACAGATAGATATGTGGATGGATTGATGGACAGACAGACAAACCAACTGAAGAGCATCAATATTTTCACAGACCAATCGTCAGTAGGTGGGTAATGGGGTCAGTATTGCGCCGGCTGTCTTTACTACCCCAGGACATACACCCTAGTACCTATTTTGAGCTGGGTCGACCTGTGATGCCACATAAGTAAAAGTAAAAGTAAAGATCCCTTTTTACGCCTTTAGGCGTATCGGGCATATGGGCAGAGCGTCCCATATTTTTATAGACCATCAGTACTCTGTGGGTAATGTAGTCAGCATTACGCCGGCTGTCTTTACTTTCCCAGGACAGCCCATCCTGGTACCCATTTTAGGCTGGGTCGACCTGCGACGTCCCATACCACGACAACAATCCACAGTGGGTTTCGATCGCGGTATGCTGGCTCACGAGTCGGACTCGCAACGCCTTAGCCACGGACGCCGCTGTGATGCCACATACTGTGATATAAATCCACGCAGCCAGCCACAGGCGTAGCACAGATTAACATATACACATGTGCAAGTTACAGCTGACAGTCTCGCCAAACATCTTTCTTATCACACATCCTTCTCATCAAACATCCATCTCATCAGACATTCTTATCATCACACATCTTTCTCATCAAACATCCTTCTCATCAGACATCCTTCTGTCAGATACGCTGGTATTTCTTCGGTCTCCCAGACTTAACTGATCTGTGTCGCAACAAGCAGGTGTGCTTGATTGGCCTTAATCACTACAGCTGGGCGACCATCTGGACCTACAGCTTTCCCTTCCTTCAGACTGGCTTTTCATGTAGTCAAGACGTCTGCTTCTGGACTTTGATCTTGATCCAGAACTCAAATGCGTTTTACAAGTTTTGATAATTTATATGCAGACTGTTGGTTACTTGCCTCTCAGGCAGATGCACTTCCAATTTCGAAAAACAAACACACATGTCTGTTGGAACTGGCTGCTAAAAATTACACCGGTTTACATCTCACAAAAATCGTTTATTATTTAATTAGGAATTGGCATCACTGCGCTCGGTACATCCCATAAACGCTCCGTTCCTACCATTAGCAGAAAGCGCAGAATTCCACTTCCGATGTTACCAGTAATAGTCTGATTGTATGTCCGTCTCCCCTTTCCCCTGAGTGTTGAGCGTCGGCCATATTCCATGGTAACTTCCCGCAACGCCATTCTCCTTAGACCGTAATGATCTATCTGTGCTTCCGGGCTGTTCACTCGCTCTCAAAGGGCTCCAACTACGTCTAAATTACCATGCATCAGTTCACCCCAAGTTGAACAGAACCAGCCAGTCTGTCCGCCTATTCATTTCCTAATACACCGGCATTCCCCTGGGGAAACTGTCTAAAGTATTGGAGTTCATGCTGTGTGCTTGATACCATTTTCAGCAAGCAACCGAGAGAGTGAGAAGAGGAAAAGGCGAGGGGATGGAGAGAAAAAAAAAGGCATATAAATTGGAGAACGGGAGCCCAAAGAGTCAGTCAAAATTCGGATTAAAACACATTTTTGTTATAAACAGATAATTCTTGACACATTTGTATTCCCCCACCCCACCTTTTTTTTTTTTTTTTTTCATATTCATTTTCATATACTGTGCGTTTTAGGATTGTTTGTTTTCATTGCTTTTTCTAAGAATATTTTCTTTTTTCCTTTTTTAACCGACCACAAATGACGTCTCAGGACAGTCCATTATTTTAGAGGGTTTCCAAGTTGTCTGTGCTTTAGCGCGTTTCTTCCATGGCCAGGGTTTTTCGCACGTTAACCTAACCCTAACTCTAACCCTAATTTTAACCTAACCAAAACTTTACGCCTAATCTACGACCCCCTGAAACATTTGACTGCCCCGTGACTTGTGGGTTTCACCTGTTTGTGGTCGGCTTATAAGAAAGTACCGAATATTTATTTGTGAACCTACTTATGTGCATAACCCGGGTTCTTTTATATTACACTATACTTTATACTACTACTAGGCCTAATCATAACCTCCCCCCCCCCCCCACCCCCCCCCCTTACTATGGGACGGTCTGGGGATTTCACTATCAAATCTCAAAGCCGGCGTGATGTGGTGAAATAACAGAAACGAACCCAAAACCTTCTAAATGTGTGTCTTTCCAATGTTTACTTAATTGCCATTTTTAAACTTTGAATTGCAGATAATCTAATGTCCCTGACCTTTGGTTTGACAGATTCTCCGAGCAGACGATCTGACCATAGACGCAGAAGACTATGCCTGTATGTCCGTGTTGAAGTGGGTCGACTTCCTGCCTGACGTCAGGACAGCCTACCTGCCTCAACTGCTGCGTTCTGTCCGGCTGGGTCTGGTCTCTCGGAGGATGTACGAGGTACTGATGCAGAAGTTCAGCTGTTTGCCTACAGACTCGGAGCCCATGTGCATCTTGCAGAAAGGTAAGACAGTGGTGCCAAAGTTTACGTCCGCTTTTCAACCAGTCGAATTTGAGACAGTGCCGACTTGGTAAAAAATAACTCACCCGGGACCCAGTAAAGTGTTCTTATTATCAGAAAATCCTCTTATGCCGATAATAATTCAAGAAGGAGACATTACATTGAATAAACAAATTGTTCTTCACAACAGAAATTTGCCACATGCGAGATCGCATTAAGCGGTCTGCACTGTATACTTTCCTGCTTATACGGGACATTTCTGCTCGGTATACGACCTTTGTTGGGAATACGACTCGCGCGTTTTAACGAGTGAGCCTCAACCAGGTCGAAGTAGAGTAAAGAGACAGAAAAACAAAAGCAAGGAAAACAATAGAATTTTATATTATTGAAGTTGTACTGGAAGGAAGCTCTCTTTTCAAACAAGAATATCATCTCTTTCTTCCTTCTCAGTACCATCCTTGTAGACACTCGAATCTTCTTCGGAAGGTAAAATAGGGTTACATTTCCATTTATTTCATCTGAGTGCTTTCCTATATAAGCATTTTATTTTCAAGCAGTATTTAAATATTTTAATTAGCACCATCAATGTATAAAATGCGAGTAACAGTATGATGTTTTTTTTTTTTAATATGGAAAAGGGTTTATCACTTTTTATCGGAACATTTATTTGGTACGTCATGTCTGAAATAATTCCAAGGATCTGAGACGGATTAATGGTGTATACAGAGGCGAGCCACTGCTCGTTCTTAGCTTGTTATCGAAGCTGATGGTACAGGGGGGAGATAGCGACATCAAGGAGGGCTTTATTTTACTAGTCATTTATACTTTTATTCTTTATTACAAAACGCCCCTCGGTCTGTGTCTTGTCGAGCACGTAAAGCTGGTTAACACAGTAGTAATGTAGCGGGAGAGGGATGGAGGACGTTAGCAGCATGTTTAGGCCATTTGTGCAGAAACACTAACGGGTGAGACTCCCAGTTACTAATAGTACGTTGCTCGCCTTGCACACTCAACAGCAAAGCGACCAGAAGGAAAATGTCACGTGTATCGCGTAGAGGGTCACTAAGATCTGTAGGAGAATGTGGCTATTAGCAGACAATGACCATGTACAAGTCCCCAGTAGTTAGGTCCCTGTTGGTGTGGATATTTAGGCAACGCATGATGAAGATTATGACTTTCAGCATATAGGTTAGATTCACGTAAATCTCCCCAAACAAAGTAGGTTACTTTTCATTCACAAGTTTGTTAGGCTGGTCGACTTCCATGAAGGTTACAGGTCCTGCTCTATTGTTTGCTTTCTGTGTTGTCTTGCATTTACATTTTTATTCCGAGAAAGAGAATGCCTGTGATGTGACATAGGTTGCTGAACTCTTTAGGAGGGCTGTCTTAGAGCCAGTTTCTCCATGTTTTTGGTGCGTTAAAAGCCCTGGCGTGCTGAAATATACAAAACGCTATATCAACTGCATTGCAGAATGCCCCCGTAACCTTGTGCCAAGGTGACAAGTTCAGGAACTACCAGTCAGAACTAGTGTGTATATGGGTTGGGCGTGGGGAGAATAACGTTACGTGTACCCAACATGTATACAACTGAAGTGGACATTTTCTTCTGCAGGATACGAGCTGTGCTGTGGAGGAGGCGACGATTCCTCGCTCCGCCCCCAGCTGAACCAGTCGCTAGGCAACCCGATGTTGAGACCACGTGTCCCCAACGAAGTCATCTTTGTTCTGGGTGGTTGGTCACGTGATGGCGTCTGCGCGGACATGGAAACCTACGACAGTAGGGTGGACAAATGGTAACACTCTCCAGAGTTTGGTTATCATTTTTAGTATGGTTTTCATTCATACATCTTCTTCATCTGGGCTCATCTGGATAGTGATTTGAAATCGCATCATTCAGAACAAGCCCACACTAGCTCCGTCCCAATTCTCAGCAGCTATCAGAGTATCTTTATTGATAATACACGCTGTCAACTGGTTAACTACGCATCTGGCCTCTCCCCTGAGTCATGAGTGGGGCCCAGAGCCTGCATTTACTCTGCTCGGCATCATGATCTCCAGGTAGGGGTTTCAAACTCTTCCGTTTAGCTTGTTACCTCGTCCCACAGGCAAGAGATGGCCCCTGTCTTGTGCAGTTGCTCCACGTCCCCAAGTGGGGCCAGTCGAGCCAGTCTATCTGCCTGTTCATTTCCCGAACATTGGTTTCTTTAGTAGAGTAGAGAACCTCACTTCGGCTTTCTGTAGTTTCTCTTCTATTTCAGGGGTGGTTAGGGGATCGAGGGTTGGGTACTCTGCGGCACAGTCATGGAATACCGAGGTTTGCATTGAAATGTAGACGACTCGGTTAAATATCTCTTTGTGTTGACTGTGACAACTGCGAGTGTCATTTGGAATGTTGTTTTTTTTTTTTTGACTGTGACCATCGTGGTGTTGAGATCTGTAGATACAGAAAATGGCGCGTGGCTTGTTGCCGCAGAATAAAGGGTGCTTTATGTGATTTAAATTGATCGCGTGTGTAACTGCTGATGTGTTTGTTATTCTTGCTTCTGTCGATGATGAACCGCATCTAATGTCAGACTGTTTGTGTTAGCACTTATGATGGCTGCCTTATACTTTTAATGCGTGTGCATACTAGTAGATATGCTGAGACTGCAGCCTGTGTCCATTTGCCCACAAGGGACAGTGATGGACATTCTGTGTGTTTTTCGTTGGCACAGCAGCGGAGCGACTATGGGGTGACCCGTTTGCCACGACGCTGAAATTCGGATTTTCAGATTACTAGATTACTGCAGGAGCGCTGATCGCCACAAATAGATGGCAAACTACTGAATGTACACTTGTCCGGTAGAACAAAAATAACCAACAAATGTTGGGTCCTATAAAGGATTTGACTTTTCTTTAAAAAATCAGGGGTAAGAATTATCTTTTTGTTTTATTTAGTATCTTTTTCCCTTCTGCGGCAGCGAATGATGGCAAATCACAGGCCTGTTGGTGTGCTGAATATTGCTCCTTGCAGCCAGCTGAACGCCAAAGCTGTGAATGAAACGATGTTCCGTACCCCCATTTGCACTAAACACTTTCCTAGGGAGTCTATGTGAAAATACGATCCATCAACCGGAGGGAGGTATCCCCCCACTAAAACTAAACCTGTTTCAGACAGACTTAGCTGGAACTTCATCTGTCACCCTAACAATTCCAGCTCCATAATCGTCCATGGGCACCTTAACATCTCCCGCTTTGATCTGGACACTCGTAAGATCTTCTCAGTGAGAACACTATAGTGGTCTACTAGCGAGACAGGTGACCTCACAGACATACTCACGAGAAGCAGGCTGCCTCCGACCTATACATCACTTTCTTTCAGTACTTTCAAATGCTCCCAGACTAGTTGCAAAACGTGTTCCTTTTGCGATCCAAATCCCCTCGGTCCATTATGGGGAAAGGTTTATTTCACCCTAGGAAAAAGTTTACTAGTTAATCGCTTTACCATCACCTGCAAAGAAATGCAATAAGGCATATGCCAGGGACTCCAGTGTGAAGTTAGCAGACAGTTTTCATGAACATCCAATAATTTTTATTTTTTTTACAATGAGCCAATATGAAGTTAGCAGCACAGTTTCCATGAACATCCTAATGATTTTTATTTTTTACAATGAGCCAATATGAAGTTAGCGGACAGTTTCCATAAACATCCAATGATTTTTATTTTTTTTACAATGAGCCAATATGAAGTTAGCAGCACAGTGTACAGGTTCTGTAGCACCGGCGAGGATCCTGAAATACTTTAGGTAGATTTGTAATTCCAAATGTTTACCCAGGCAGCGCCGTTAGGCTACTCTTTTAGATTTCCAACTGCCAAGAGATTTTTTTACGTACGCAACAATACACACGGGCGTCCGATCTCACTACCCAGAAACTAATGGGAATTACTAAAAGTCAAAGTCCACATGAAAAAATGCGAGCCCCGACCGGTGATTAAACCCAGAACCTCTAGCACTCGAAGCGGACACCATGCCTCGAGACCACGCATCCCCCTCCTTCTTACTTATGTCATTCCGTAATACAGCCCTTTAAGTACATATGCCCCCCCCCCCCCCCCGGTCCCTTCAAATCTTGGTTGAATGCATTCTGACCTTGGATACTAATAAACTCTGTTGTCTTTTCCGTTGAGTTTTCCAGTCACAGTTTGCGATGTGTTTAATACGCCCCTGACAAAGACTTTGGTCGAAACCTTCGGCTGTATTTGTGTCTTTCCCATCCCCTCCATTGAATTGTCTAGTCACATTTTATGATGTTTTAGTACTTCAAATATTGACTAGTTTTACCATATTGTCGGCTCTGTTGCTAAGTCGATGCGAACGCTTCGTAATGCCGGGATGCTGAGTTCGATCACAACTGCGGGCCATGCGCCTTGCGTTGGTTTCGACAGTGGTATCAAGAAAGCCGACCGTCCATTATTCAATGGCAAATTACTGGACATAAATTTGCCTAATAAAACCACACAACAGCCAGGGGCTGTTGGGGTTGGTTCTGCAACGTCCTGTAAAGGATACGCAACTAACCTTTACTATATTACCTAACTACCCCCACAATTCCAAAGTGATGATAGAAGAAGTTACCCATGACACAACTTCTGCTTCCTGTGGGTGCAGGTATGAGAATGAAAGTGAGTCGTACGAACACAGTCTGGCCTACCATGCCATGGTCACGGTCCAACAGACGCTCTACGTCATCGGCGGTTACACGACGGTCAAGTATCTCAACTCGGCCAAGAAGTTTGACCCACTGACCAAAATATGGTCAGAGGTAATGATGTTTGTGATGTTGCTCATCGAAACGAAGGGACTGGGCTGTAGCTATGAAAGTTTAGGAAAGATGAAGTAAGGCAAAAACTAAAAGTGTATGTGTGAATAAGTTTTACACAAATAGTTACAATAAACAAACAAATGACGATTAGCCTTCATCAGCATAACAATGACAAGAAAAAAAGTACAACGTAAATAAAAACTAAACTGAAATGACTACAACACAGTATTTAAATATAAGAATCCTTTGTGACTGCATGTCAGTCTCCAGGCGATTTAGAGGGATCCATGAGATAACACGTAGAGAGAAGTGACCCGCCAGCTAAACAGACTCGCAGAAAACAATCAAATCGTTCTCCAGGGGATCCCGGCTCACTGCTGCATACCAGCTCACTGCGGCATACCAGAAAACTGAGTAAGCAGACAGACTTGCGAAAAAATTGGAACAAAGGAGAAACAACACACCCATTCATTGTCATTACCAGAAATCGGAGCACTTATCAAGGGACAATGCAATGAATTGTGGATAGAACAAAATAACAGTAAACATCTACAAGACCCCATCAGCAAACTCTGCAGAAAGCAACATACAACAATTTTCCGTCTACGTAGGCTCAGCTACCATGTGCATAAAATAACGATTGTACAGGTCTCACAGTTTGCCTGTCAAACAGGACCACAAACACCTGAGCACATTCTGCAGACCTGCCCACTCTACCTACAACTTCGAAAAGAAACCTGGCCTCTAGAGCAAAGTGTGCAGAGCAAGCAATGGGTACCATGAAGACCTACTACTGACATGCGAGTTAACAGAGGCAACCCACCTGATGGTAGGACCTGAGTATATGAAACCGTATGCAAAGAAGAAGAAGAAGAAGAAGAAGAAGAAGAAGAAGAAGAAGAAGAAGAAGAAGAAGAAGAAAGAAGAAGAAGAAGAAGAAGAAGAAGAAGAAGAAGAAGAAGAAGAAGAAGAAGAAGAAGAAGAAGAAGAAAATGAAGAAGAAGAAAAAGAAGAAGAAGAAGAAGAAGAAGAAGAAGAAGAAGAAGAAGAAGAAGAAGAAGAAGAAGAAGAAGAAGAAGAAGAAGAAGAAGAAGAAGAAGAAGAAGAAGAAGAAGAAGAAGAAGAAGTAGAAAGAAATAAATGCATTTATAGAAAAAAAGTGATACTTACTTGGCCCGCCATTAATTAAAAAAAAAAAATATATAAATAAATAAATGAAGCAGCTGTCACTCTCAAAGACGAACGAAATAGTAAAAATAAATCTGATCAGTGGGAGTGGTGCTGGTTGTCCTTACTTTGCGATACATTTAATGAAAGAGGGTGCAAAATGTTAGATAGAACCTGTTCTGATGTATGGTAACGAAACTTGGATGTCACTGAATATATTAAGAAGAATTTGGAAGCAACAGAGATGTGGTTTCTGAGACGATTGTTATGTATACCTTGGACGGCCAGAGTAACTAAAAACGATTGCTTGAAAAAAGATCTGTAAATACAACAATAAGAAAGAGAAAAACACTGTTCTTTGGCCACATAATCAGAAGAGAGACATTGGAGACCATCGTGACAACTGAAAAGGTCCGTGGAAAAAGTGGTAGAGGCAGACCAAGAGAGATGATGCTGGATGGGCTAAAACGATGACATGGAGGGATATCATCAAGAGAGCTGTTCCAGTCAACCAAGGGATCGTGATCTGTAGAGACGCATAAGCACCTACGACAGTTGGCAGGGCACATAATGATGATGATGACGTTTAATGAGAAACTCCATTCGTGTTTCATAAAGCTGCATATATTCACAAGGATAGGACTAAGTCGGCTGGGACATTTATTTTTAATTTGACAAGATGTCCTATAGTGAACGAGTTGACAAGTTGTTGACATGCACAAGTTCAACATATGTCCCTGGTAAAAGAGTTGACACGTTGATTGACGTGATAAAGTTGACAAGATGTCCCCTGTTGAAATTATTGACACGTTGGTTGACGTGAAAAAGTTGATATGATGGCCCCTCCTAATGAAAGAGTTGACACGTTGGTTGACGTGATAACGTTGACAAGATGTCCCCTGCTGAAAGTGTTGACACGTTCGTTGACGTGAAAAAATACATATGATGGTCCCTCCTAATGAAAGAGCTGACAAGTTGGTTGACGTGACAAAGATCATAAGATAGCTCCCAATGAATGCATTGACAAGCTGGTTGACGTGAACAAGTTGATAATATGTCCTTATAATGAAAGAGTTGTTTAGTTGACTGAGATGAAAAAGTTGAGATGATGTTTCCTGGTGAAAGAATTGACAAGTTGGTTGTCGTGAAAAAGTTGATAATGTGTCGCCTGGTGAAAGATTTGACTAGTTGGTTGTCCTTAAAAAAAAAACACGATGACAAGATCAGATGTCACCTAGTGAGAGCTACCAGTTACTACGATGCTAGCTGCGCATGGCATACTCTCAATTGTATAGCGACGTAAAGGAAATGTAACGGGTGACCGTCTCCAGTGTAATTTGTGCCAGCTAACGCTTCATTTTGTCTACGCCGCTTAAATATGCAAATTGATCACGCCGCGCCACTGATTGTCTCCTATTTGTCTGCACCCCCAGATCGCCCCCATGCACAGCTCCCGCTGCTACGTGTGTGCTGCGGAGGTGGGCGGGTTCATCTATGCTTGTGGGGGGTTCGATGGCACTAACAGACACAGCTCGGTGGAGCGTTACTGCCCCGTCAAGAACCAGTGGCAGATGGTCCGCGAGATGACCAGTGTCCGGAGCGATGCTGGGGCTTGCGGCGTTGACGGTTGGTCCATGCTCGTTTGTAGTAATCATTCGTCACCATCATCGTCATCCTCCTCCTCATCATCATACTCTCTATCATCGCGACACGAGTATCATTGTGGTCATCATTATCATCATCATCAGGGGTTGAGTTGTCTCGAGACATGGCGTCCGCCTTAAGTGTTGGAGGTCCTGGGTTCAAGCCCCGGTGAAGGCTGGGAATTTGATCATGTGGGCTTCTGGTATTTTCCCCTGGTTTCTGGATAGTTAGATTGGACGCCTGTGTGTATTCTTGTGCACGTAAAAAACTATCCCTTGGCAGTTAAAAATCGAAAAAGAGTAGCCTAACAGCGCTGCCCGGGCAAATTTTGGAGTTAAAAATCTACCTAAAGTATTTCAGGATCCTCGCTGGTGATAGAGAATTCGTGCACTGCGCTGAGTACCTTGGGACTTAGGTTTGAGTTAGAAGTAGAACGGAGCACTTGTGTGTTTTTACCCTTGTGCCATGATGTTGGTCTTTAAAAAAAAAACAAGAGAAATCCATCATCATCATCCTCCTCCTCCTCTTCATCATATTATCCATCATCCCGACACACGAGTATCATTGTTGTTATCACCATCATCATTTGCGGATCCGATGGTCATGGGTTCAAACCTTCACGGTGCTGGATATTTTTTAAACATGACCTTGGCTCCTGGGTCGATCCAGAATTAAACGGGTAGCAGATAAAGTTCTGGGAAGTAAAGGCGGTCGGCATGATGTTGATCCCTCATCGCCCATCGGTTATGATATGTTCGACGACACTGGCATGTATGAAGACCTTCATTTACTTTTCTACATCATCATCAAATTGTTATCGTTGGCTTTCGAGCTTCCCTCCACGCAACTTGTTTTTCTGTTAATTTGTTTATGCTTCTGTCTGTCTGTCTGTCTGTCTGTCTGTCTGTCTGTCTGTCTGTCTGTCTGTCTGTCTGTCTGTCTGTCTGTCTGTCTGTCTGTCTGTCTGTCTGTCTGTCTGTCTGTCTGTCTGTCTGTCTGTCCGTGTGCCTGTCTGTCTGTGTGCCTGTCTGTCTGTCTGCTAGTATATCAGCTTGTTTGTCTACTCCCCATGTTAGTTGTATATCAGCTTGTTTGTCTGCTCCCCAAGTTAGCTGTATATCAGCTTGTTTGTCTACTCCCCATGTTAGCTGTACATCAGCTTGTTTGTCTACTCCCCAAGTTAGCTGTATATCAGCTTGTTTGTCTGCTCCCCAAGTTAGCTGTATATCAGCTTGTTTGTCTGCTCCCCAAGTTAGCTGTATATCTGCTTGTTTGTCTGCTCCCTATGTTAGCTGTATATCAGCTTGTTTGTCTGCTCCCCAAGTTAGCTGTATATCAGCTTGTTTGTCTGCTCCCCAAGTTAGCTGTGTATCTGCTTGTTTGTCTGCTCCCTATGTTAGCTGTACATCAGCTTGTTTGTCTGCTCCCCATGTTAGCTGTATATCAGCTTGTTTGTCTGCTCCCCATGTTAGCTGTACATCAGCTTGTTTGTCTGCTCCCCAAGTTAGCTGTATATCTGCCAACCTTTCTGTCTAATAAAAAAAAAAAAAAACTGTCCCAGTGTGAGACGCCATTGTTGGTTATTTTAAAGCCCGACCCCAGCTGTCATCGGGGGGGGGGGGGGGGGGGGGGAGGCCTATTTAACCTAACGGTTGAACGGGGATTCTGGGATTTGTGCCTGGTGGATTCTCATCCGAATGGTGGCACTATGTGTCACCGGATGTTTATCGTGCGTTATGCTTTCCTGGTGGGGTTTAACGTTACTCACTCACTCACCCACTCACCCACTTACTGACTCACTGATTCACTCACTGACTCACCCACCCACCCACTAACTCACTCACTGAATCACGGAATCACTCGCTCACCCACCCACTCACTCACCCACTCCCTCAATCACGGGTTCACTCACTCATTCACCCACCCACGCACCTACCCTCTCACCCACTCACTCACTCACCCACCCACTCACTCACTGAATTACGGATTCACTCACTCACCCACCCACTCACTAACTCACTCACTCACTGAATCACGGATTCACTCACTCACCCACCAACTCACTAACCCACCCACTCACTGAATCACGGATTCACTCACTCCACCCACCCACTCACTCACTCACTCACCCACCCACTGACTCAGTCAGCCACCCACTCAATAAAGTGTCTTTATTAGTCATGCCTATTGTACAGCTTGAAATCCACAACTATGGAATACGGACAGAATTCATCTCAATTCACTGAGATGGCACCATAGGTTACAGAAATTTAAATTAACGAAGCATAGGTCGAATAACAAACACAGCGACTATTTACAAACACAGTAGACCGTAATGCTTTGTCTAGAATACAACGAACATTTAAGAAAGAGATGTGATTAGTAGGTCCCATTATGTATACGTGATTCATAAAAAAAAAACAGAGGGGTTACCCTCGAGGAACCATTGCACCCTTAGTTGTGTGCTTATGTCTGTCTATCTGCTACTTCCTTTGTTATTTGTATATCTGTTAACTTGTTTCTCCTTGTTTGCTTGCATAGCTGTCTTTTTTTCTGCCCGATTACACGATTTCCTCCTCGCTGATCAGACTGTATGTCTGCCTGGTAGTATGGCAACTTGTCTGTCTGCCTGTCAGTTTCTGTATACAACTAACTGCCCATTCCTTTCCGTATTACCTGCCCATTGATAGCTGCCCAATGTTAACTGTCCGGTGTTAACTGCACAGTGTTGACTGTCAAATCTTAATTGCCCATTGTTAACTGTCCAATGTTAACTGCCCAGTGTTAATTGTCAAATATGAATTGTTCAATGTTAACTGCCCAGGTAAAGTGTACGTAGCCGGTGGGTTTAGTGGGACCGAATGTCTGAACACGGCCGAGAGCTACGACCCCCTGACCAACCAGTGGACATTGCTGACGCCCATGAGCTGCCAGAGGAGCGGGGTCACAGTGGTGGCCTTCCAGCACGCCGTCTTCGCCATTGGAGGATTCAACGGTTCAGTGAGGCTGGACGAGGGTCAGTGTCCGGTTGTAACGGCTTTAACTTGATTCTGGTATCAGTGTTTTAGTAAATTTCGTCTAATATACAGAGATGCATGCAAGCGGGGCACGAAAGATACAGACACTTATGTGGATTTGGGTTTGGTTTGAACAACGGATCAACATCATGGCACACGGGTAGTAACCTATAAGTGCTCCGTTCTTCTTGAAACTGAGTCCGAAGAAGCTCAGCACAGAGCACAGACTCTGTAGCTCCGGCGAAGATCATGAATTACTTTGGGTAGATTTTAACTCCACGTTTTGCCCATGCAGTGCCGTCAGGCTACTCTTTTCGATTTCTAACTGCCAAGGGATTTTTACGTGCGCAACAATGCACAAGGACGTCCGATCTCACTACTCAGACCAGGGGAATTACTAGAAATCCAAGTCCACGAGAAAAAATCTCAGTCCTAACCGGGAATTGGAACCAGAACCTCTAGCACTCGAGGCGGACACCACTGTTCGAGACCACGCAGCCCTCTTAGGTACTTACTTATGTGGATTCTTCGGAACAAAATGTTATGGTCCGCTATGGGAAGATTGGACGGTTCAGTGAGACTGGACGAAGGTCAGTGTCCGGCTGTAACGACTTTAATTTGATTCTGGTACCAGTGTTTCGGCTTTCTCAAAGTTACATCTACGATACAGAGATGCATGAAAGTGGGGCAGGAACGGTACAGGTGTTTATGGAGATTCTTCGGAAGGAAGTGTTTTGGACCGCTCCATGAGAGTGGACGAGGGTCAGTGTCCAGTTGAAACGTCTTTATTTTGAGACTGTTTTTCTTCTTAGCGTTTACGGCCATAAATTCTGGAGGACTGACTGACTGACTTTCTACCCCACCAGGACATCACACAAGCGATAAACACCCGATGACACAAAGTGCCACCATGTGGATGAGGATCGCCGTGCAGAGGTCCCAGAAACCGCGTTAAGACAATTGGTCATATTTATGGCCTGCCTATATTGCGGCCCCTGGCGAAAAGCCAGGATGGGGCTTCAAATAACAAAAAATTTCGTCCTAAAAACGGACGAAACTGGATAACATGATTCCGGAGGAAAAGTGTGGTTGTTTTTCTACTTCTGGACTTTAGTCTCGCTTCAGAACTAGAGTTTTGCGTGCACATCCATTTCACAGATCTGGCTTACCTGTATGCAAACTTTTGATTCCATGCCTCACAGGCCAATGCACTTCAAAGTCGAAGAAAATGCCCACAATCAGTCGATTTTTACGACATGCTTGATGGGCGTGCGAACAAAATGCCATGGACAGTGTCAGGTGAAGAGGAAATCAGGAAGGAACTGAGAATCAAGGGGATACAACAACAGCAGTAAGGTTGAGAGAATCAAGGGGATACAACAACAGCAGTAAGGTTGAGAGAATCAAGGGGATACAACAACAGCAGTAAGGTTGAGAGAATCAAGGGGATACAACAACAGCAGTAAGGTTGAGAGAATCAAGGGGATACAATAACAGCAGTAAGGTTGAGAGAATCAAGGGGATACAACAACAGCAGTAAGGTTGAGAGAATCAAGGGGATACAATAACAGCAGTAAGGTTGAGAGAATCAAGGGGATACAACAACAGCAGTAAGGTTGAGAGAATCAAGGGGATACAATAACAGCAGTAAGGTTGAGAGAATCAAGGGGATACAATAACAGCAGTAAGGTTGAGAGAATCAAGGGGATACAACAACAGCAGTAAGGTTGAGAGAATCAAGGGGATACAACAACAGCAGTAAGGTTGAGAGAATCAAGGGGATACAAACAACAGCAGTAAGGTTGAGAGAATCAAGGGGATACAATAACAGCAGTAAGGTTGAGAGAATCAAGGGGATACAACAACAGCAGTAAGGTTGAGAGAATCAAGGGATACAATAACAGCAGTAAGGTTGAGAGAATCAAGGGGATACAACAACAGCAGTAAGGTTGAGAGAATCAAGGGGATACAACAACAGCAGTAAGGTTGAGAGAATCAAGGGGATACAACAACAGCAGTAAGGTTGAGAGAATCAAGGGAATAAATAACAGCAGTAAGGTTGAGAGAATCAAGGGGATACAATAACAGCAGTAAGGTTGAGAGAATCAAGGGGATACAACAACAGCAGTAAGGTTGAGAGAATCAAAGGGATACAACAACAGCAGTAAGGTTGAGAGAATCAAGGGGATACAATAACAGCAGTAAGGTTGAGAGAATCAAGGGGATACAATAACAGCAGTAAGGTTGAGACAATCAAGGGGATACAACAACAGCAGTAAGGTTGAGAGAATCAAGGGGACACAGCATAAAGGTTGAGAAATGTAAGGGGACTAATGATAGCAGAAAGGGTGATCCATCTGTCGATTAACTAACTAACTGAATAACTAATTAAAAAAGCCCTTTCGGAGCGAGTGAACAGTGCGGAGGCACAGATGGACAATTACGGTCTGAGGAGAATGGCGCTGTGAGAAGTTACCAAGGGGCTCTGGCTGACACTTAACACTCAAGGCAAAGGCGAGACGGATGTACAATCAGACATTTACTGGTACCATCGGACATGAATGATACAGGAACTGAGGTGGGAACAACATGTCATAGTCCGTGTTGTGTGAAGAGGGCAAATCAGGAAGGGAATGAGAATAAGGGAAGAAATAATTGCAGAACGGATGAGAGCTGAGCGTCTGAGAAAAAAAACCAGATCCAACACAAATGTTGACAACAACATTCCTGAAATCTTATGCTATCATTGTGGAAGACTTTTCTTAACATGATCTTGCTAGTCACACTCGCCATCGCCATGGGCTGTGAGTCTCATGCCTCCTCATAGCGTAGTATAACACTATTGTCTGGAAAGACGAAAAGCTGCCAATCAATCATACCGGAACTCTTCGCTTGGTGCTGAAGATGCGGACGGAGCGATTATGGGAGTGTTCCAAGTGCTATGATGTCAATTCTTAATTAAACATACAACTAACTGCACTTTTTAAATTGTTCTCTTTTTTTGTTCATTTGTTTCAATAGTTGAAAAATACTACCCGGACCGAGGGGCGTGGTTTCCTGTCAAAGAAATGTTGAAAGGGCGGAGTAACTTTGCCGCTGCTGTCATAGAGAATAGAATATTCGTCGTGGGCGGGTACGATGGTAGGTTTTCTTATAATTTGTGTAATCCATGCCGTGTAGTCGTGTCTATCCACGACTCCTGTCTCGTCTGCTTTCAGTCAGTTCTGACACAGAAGACCTTGCGTACTTTGTGGTATTGGTAATCGTGTCTTTCACATAAGGCTAGTGTCACGTGTATTTGTTAGGGTTTCCACTAATGAACCAAAAAAAAAAAACTCTGAAGTAGTTTAAGTGTTGAGATGTTGGCTCGCAATGGTCTAGGCGGTATCCCGCAGCTCCAAAGAACATCCTACCTTCATGGGTGGGGCAACTCAAATTGTGGCACTACAGAATTATTAAACGTTCCTAGGCGCAACTTGGACTTTCCCCCTACTTTTAAGCCCCTAGACTAGATAACAATCCTAAGCTAGTCAAATTAACACAGTATAACATGAATTACACAAACCACACACATTCCAGACAACTTAAGAACTGTGAAGGATGGACACTAACCACATAATGTAAAATAATAATACATCATGTAATCAGTGCAACGCAAGTAAGAAAGTAAGGAAATTATTTCAGCAAGACAAAGTAAACCAGCCAAGAAAGTAAATAATTCTTTACTCTAGATGGATTCCTTGTTTGTCCCTATCAGCAGCACGTATAACCACTGCCAAACTGTCAAATATCGGACCTAGGTAACTGGCACTGAGTATTAAGCTTCACTGCCGCAACGTCCTGTGTTTATTTATTGTGATCAATTTTGTAAAGCTAACATAAACTGTTTGTTCTTTCATACCCACTTTTTCTTTTCCCTATAATTTTCTACCCATTTAAAAACTTATCTCTCTAGAACGTTCTCCTTATCCGAAGTACTGGTTCTTCCCACAGTGGGCCTTGAGCAGGTACACTGTCTTGTGAATTCAATATTGATAACAATGTTCCATAGTAACTGGAGTTGGTAACACTTGAAAATACCGCGTTGACCACAATATAATGTTTATGACCCTAATAGTAAGCTCGCGGGATAAAGTGCCGTGTAATCTATTAATTATTATAAACTAAACTTTATGCCACCTTCTGGTCGTGGCAGCTGTTAGCAGCATGAACCTCACATGAAAGACTTCTGGGTTGAAGATACAAGATGATGATGAACATCACAGAACAACAGACACTTGTCATCTCATGGAGCCGCTAACACTGGTGCATGGACAGGAATGAGTTATTCGCGGGGGATCCCTCATCCTGTAAGCTGGATGTTGGTTGCACTTGATAGGTGTTATAGGAGACTGATAGTTGACCTGGCTCCCAGATATTAGTAACACCCAATGCTCATTGACTTTCCAGATGAATCGATAATTCAAACGGAGGTAAGCAGATAGACAGAAAAGGCAGCAATCCGTCTGCTCAGTCTGGAAGTTCAGTCCAAAACGGTAGTTAAGCCAATGATATTTTTTTCACTATAAGTCAATCTCCCACGTATATGGCTGAATTTAAATATATCTCGTTCCCAAGAGAATTAGGTTAGAATTTAGTACTTAACCCGACATCTTGATACATAAGTACAAAAGAAGGACTATTAACGTATGGAGAAAAGTCCAAGACTTTAAATTGACTCTGTAACACAGAAGTGTACAAAATGTGGGCAGGTACAGGATCAGAGGGGTGTGGGCTGTCATGCGACAATGTCTGTCCACAACTTCTGTCTCGTGCGCTTTCAGTCACTTTTGACACAGATGACCTAGCATACTTTGTGGTGCAGGTAGTCATGTCTGTCCATAACCTTCTGTCTCGTGTGCTTTCAGACAATTCTCACACTGATGATCTTCCACGCAAAGATGTCAGACTGTCCTGCATCTTCTTCCTCTGCTTCCCTCTACCTCTTTTTCCTGCAAACTTTCTCACTGTGACGATGTACCCTATTTCTCCCCTTCCCGTGTTATGAGCAAAGAATGTAGGTTGTCTCCTTCTGATGTGGGCAGTCAGTTCTCTTCGTGAGTCAGTTTCTTTCAAAACGTTTTCATTACTCTTTTTATCTGTCCAGTGTGTTCTCGTTATCTATATTAATAACAATGTTAATTTTCCGAGTTTGTTAACTTTAAACTCGGAAACTACTGAACAGATTGCTTTCAAACTTTTACACAACGTTGCCTCTGACTCAAAGTGTGGTTTTATGTCAAAAAATCGCACAAACCACGAATAACGTAGCTCCAGCAACGGTCAAATCATTATTTGTTTCGTTGCCAGTCCGGATTTGTTTTTAGTTGATCAGCCGCCTTCGACTGCGTAACACCAAACTTCACATTATTATATACTTCTATTTCTACCAAATGCTTGAGTATTTAGTAGCGTAGTTAGTTTTAAGCATTTCGCCTTTTACACGGGTGATAGGGTTTCGATTTCCCGCTGGGTGATATAATTTTTTTTGGCCGCTAACTGGGTGGCTGCAACGTTTTTTTTTTTTTGTTATTTATTTATATTTTTTTTTTTTTTTTTTTGTGTGTTTATAGTTAGGCTGCAATATCTACGCTTTTTTCCCCGCACGATTTTGGGGTTTACAGCTAGCTTGCGATAGCGGCGACGTGATGCTCAATGTTCATATCATGGGTAATATTCGTTGTGTCTGGGTGGACATGGATGCCAAGCTCAATTTAACAACAATATTTCGTCAGGCACTGACTTTCCCATACTTCGTAGAGGATGATATGATTGTCACGGGGGGTTGGGGGAGGGGGAGTTGATGCCAGACACTGTTAACTGAGAGAGCTTAAAATATTATTATAACGTTCTCATTTCTTAACTATTTTTATTTTAACAATGTCACCAGATGATAATTGTTAAATCATTCTGAGAGGGAGATATGATAAGGGAAGGAAGGGCGGGGGGGGGGGGGGGGGGGGGTATGACAGACACTGTTAGCTCTGAAAGCTTATAACTTTATTGTACAGTTATCATTTCTTACATATTTATATTTTAATACCTCTTCCTCATCTATTTTCATTTTTTTTTGGGGGGGGGGGGGAGGGTGTCAGTTTGTTGGTCAGTTAGAGATATAGCAGTCAGCTTTACTTTTACCTGTTTAGGCAGAACAGATGCTTTAGCCTTGATAAACAAATTATCTTTCTCTCTCTCTCTCTCTCTCTCTCTCTCTCTCTCTCTCTCTCTCTCTCTCTCTCTCTCTCTCTAACAGTGCACTTTATTCGACCACTGATATCGACATTTACTGATATGTTGCGTGTTCTAGAGTTGGCATATCAGACTATCTCTATAGCTGTGCATTGACATATATTAACCACATTAGACAGGTGCGCTTTCTGTTTTCTTTCTTTTCCAGTTTACCATGCTGGGCCACAGCAACGCGTGGCCGGGTACAGCTAGTTCATCTATAAAACTAAATCTCCGCTGCTTTCACATACTTTTTTCCCTATTCCACCAATTAATATAAAGTGACATGGTTTTAGATTGCGATGTAGTTTACATTTATCATTTAGTTGCATATCGGAATCAATTTACAGGGATCTGATCATAAGATGTGTTGTATTCAACTTTTAATTATTAGATTCTTTTGATATTTAAACCGCGAAATGCAGGGGTATTGGGAATTGAGCAGGCAGACAGAATTGCTGGTTCTGCATGAATAGATGGTGAATTTATGCACGACAGGCTAGACGTGGTCAGGACCTTTTTCGGAGCAAATGAACAATGCGGAGGCACCAATCGGTCATTATGTTCAGGAGAGAATGATTCAGCTGGGAGTGACCAGGGTAAACGTTGGCTCAAGATGAAGACATAGCACTTACGTGAATGTGCTGAGTGCTATGACATCAGTGCTTCAGTATTTGAGTATGTTCTGCCAATTGTTTACAAAATCTGAGGATGAGGAGTCGAAGACGGAAGAACGAACCGAAGTAATCTAAAGACGAGAAGAATAATAAGTTGGATGTCGAATCTGATGGCTCTCATTGAGCTATTGTTTAATTAAGGATCGACATCAAAGCAATCGGGACATTCTCATAAGCGCTCCGTCCCCCATCTTCGGCAGCAGTCGCAGAGTTCCCATCCTGATGTTGCCAGTAACTGTTTGTTTTTATCCGTCTCGCCTTTCCTGAGTGTTGAGCGTCGTACAGGTCCCCTGGCCATTCCTTGCAGGGCCATCCTTCTCAGAAAGTGATAATCTATTTGTGCTGCCACACTGTCTCCAAAGGACCCTTACATCATCTAGCTTATCATATATCAGTTCACCATCAAATTGTGCAGAACCTGCTAGTCTGTCTGTCTATTCGTTTCCTAAAACACCTGCATACCTGGAGAAAACAAGCAAAGGGCGTTGACTATCCGTTCACTCCTATTTTCTATGAATTTTGTATTTAGAATAAAAAGATAGAGAGACACAAAATACAATATCAGCTATACCTATCACACAGCTGGAACCCACAACTGTGGAATACGGTCAGAATTTATTTCAAACCGTTGAAGCAACGCCATGGGTTACATAAATTAATATTAGTTAGTTAGTTAGTTAGTTAGTTAGTTAGTTAGTTAGTTAGTTAGTTAGTTAGTTAGTTAGTTAGTTAGTTAGTTAGTTAGTTAGTTAGTTAGTTAGTTAGTTAGTTAGTTAGTTAGTTAGTTAGTTAGTTAGTTAGTTAGTTAGTTAGTTAGTTAGTTAGTTAGTTACGTGGTTAGTTAGTTAATTAGCTAGCTAGTCGGTGCACTTTGACTTATAAGGAAACACGCCTAATTATTCGCCTTTTGAGACATTCTTTCTGGGGGGCGCATGTGGCTCCGGCGTTGCAAACGCGTTTCGTAGTGCCGGGTTCGATCCCAGCTGGAAACGATTTGGCAGCAGACAGTCATGCGTTAGTTTTAACAGTGTACCGAGAGCCGACCGTGCACGGCCAGTGGCAAACGACTGAACGTAAGATTTCCCTAGAAAAACCACAACAGCCCCAAAAAATGCTAGGGTTGGTTCTGCAGCGACATGTAAAGGATACGCAACTAACTTTTGTTAGAGGGGCAGTGAGTCTGTTCTCTCAACCCATCCCACAACTGGATCCGGGAACCCACACGGGGGGAACTCCACTCATATTTTTTTTTCTGTGTGTGTTGCTGAAGGTTCAGGGACGACTGGTCATGTGGAATACTATGAGAGCTACAAGGACGAGTGGACAGAAGCGGACAGTCTCCGAGTGGGGCGGAGCGCCGCCAGTGCCTGCACTATCAAGGGATTGGATAATATTCAAGACTACACCTTTTATGGGAAAGAGGCGCGGTTTTTGGTACAGTCTGATAGCTTTGATTGGCAGGTATGTCTTTGCATCTTTGCACTTTGTTATGTTTGAAACAAATGTTCTATCGCCAGACTGTCGGCTCTGTGGCTAAGTCAATGCGAACGCTTCGTAATGCCGGGGTACCGGGTTCGATCCCAGCTGCGGGCCATGCGCCTTGCGTTGGTTTTGACAATGGTATCAAGAAAGCCGACCGTCCAGAAGCAATGGCAAACTACTGGACGTAAATTTGTCTAGAGAAACCACACAACAGCCAGGGGCTGTTTGGGTTGGTTCTGCAACGTCCTGAAAAAGGATACGCTTCAACCTAAATTGCCAGGCTGTATAGCAATACCAGGACGCAGTTATTGTTCTCCCAGAGCTCTGTGTTGATGAAACAGGTTATATTTTGTTGTCTTTCCCTGAACTCTGTGTTAATATTCCCCAGAACTCTGTGTTGATGAAACATGTTATATGTTATTGTCTTTCCCTAAACTCTGTGTTGATATTCCACAGGACTCTGTGCTGATATGGCAGGCTACAAATTGTTTTTCCCCAAAATTCTTTGTTTTTGTTTGTGTATATATATTTTATTTTTTTTTAGCCAGATATTCAGACGTTTTCTTCGACCAAGTTCAGGCTGTGTCTAGTACAGAGAACATTTGATGACAGACTTACTGAGCTTACGAATCCGCGCTTGTAATCCAGTATGTAGTACAGACATGTTAAAGACATCATAGTATGACTGACTGACCTCGGCAGTTTGATAGTGGGATTGTATTCTTGTTTGGAAAATCCACAGCAGTTTATGAGCCTTTTTACTCAATGAGAAAAGATTAGATAAACATCATGAAATGTTCTACAGGCTCATAGCCCTTTAATGTGTCGGGCAGTAATTGTTAGTTGATCTGTATTAGAGATGTCTGGAGTAGAATCTAGACATGGTGAATAATACTTTGACCGGTTTATATCTTTAAGGATATTACGGAGAACCTGTTATGATATTAATTCAATAAATTCCTCACTCTATTGGCAGATAAACATGACGTATTCCTTTCTCCCCATATTTCCATTTACTTTTAGAAGTTCTTTCAAGAAAGGATGACTTTCACTCAGCAAGCAGCACTTGCATACCTAAATGCTTGCCCTGTTGTGCTGACCCAATGACCTGATTTTCTCCAGGAACTGGAAAACCTCTGCCAATGTTCCTGCTGCTTTGGGTGATCAGCTGAAGTAACAAACAATCTACCCTTCCAGTTTCTAAATGCCTTATCATTTATGCCGTCACGCACGTTTAATGTTGTTCTCTATTCTCATGTTACAAAATATTGCTCTTCTTTCAGTCGTTGAACCCCGATGTAGAAAACTGAGATTTTTTCCATGATACTAGGCGACAGATAAAACAGTACAAGCGACCTTATGATGGTGAAGAGAGTAACCATTCCAATTGTACAAGCTGGCCAGTCCGTAGTTTACTTTTGAATATACTGTTTGTTCAATACATTGTCTTCATATTCTCTGTTCGGGCTGTTTTATATTCTGTGTGAGTTTCAAATGTTTTATATTACAACAGATAATTATTTGAACGTCAACTTTATTTGTATTTAAGGTAGGTCACTTCACATACCCAGATTAGCATAAAGATTATTAGCTGGAGAGAATGATGCACTTGAGTGTGACCATAGGGTTCGGCCGGCACACTACACTAAGAGGAAAGGCAAGACGGACATATAACCAGACTACGACTGGCACCATTAGTTTTGGAACTCTGTGCTTGCTGCTGAGGATGGGGACTGAGCGCGTATAGAAATGCCCCGAGTGCTGTGATGTCAATTCTAGACTCAACACAGATTAGCATAAGGCCCCATTTGATCATGAGGCCCCGGGGACAAAGCCAAGTAGGCCCGTGCGTTAAATCGGCCATGGAAATATGCTCTTGTCTTCATAAGAATTCCGTGTTGATAGAACATGTTATCTGTTAGCTTCCCTATAACTCTGTACTGATATAACATACCACATGCTGTTGTTGTTTTTTTAAATCGAATGTTAATGTCTAAACCATACTCTGAACTCGACCTGTTGACTTGCTTGATCATCTAATTCTTGTTAACTTCTGCTCGCTTTCTGCTAGCAGCACTGTGTCGTCCGCTTGTCTCAGATTGTTTATTGTTCTTCCATTAATATTCATTTTAGGCAATTCCTTTACTTGTTGACAAGTTTTTTCTGTATATAAGTTGAAGAGATTTGGGGATAACACACATCCCTGTCTTACTTCTCCTTTTATCTCTATGTGTGGTGGGGCGATGTTGTTGTGTCAAACTGTTGCAATTTATATTATATATTATATCTTCTTCTTCTTCTGTTGTCGTCCCACTGTTACCCCAATGTCGTGGTTTTCTATATTTGTCTTGCGCTTTTCTGGTGACTTAAGTGATGGATTTGACACATTATATTATATATATTATGTATGCTATTTATTGATATAACATACCATGTACTTTCTTCCTTTCCCCAGAACTCGATGTACAACAGCCGACAGTCCCGCAGTTGGGCCAGCATCACTCGCTCCAGGAACAAGCGGCCGTCCTAGTTGGCGCCAAACTCGCCCATCGTCTGCAGCCGGGACAAGACGTGCAAGCAAACAATTCCCCCTCATCCACCTTCTCACTTCCCCTTCGCCTCTCTCGAATTACTGTATTACAGCTTCTCTACGATAAGTCTGTACATTAGGCAAATCCAACGGAGGGTTCCCGAGGACCATATGGGGTCCTTTTTGTGTTGTCACCAAGGCCACACGCGAAAATTAACTGGTCATTGCATACAAAGGGTCGCATTCAGCCCGGGGGCCTGCTATACGGGATCCAACCTTCACCACAAATATACGAGGGCTATTCCAAAATAAAACTTTGTTGGCTGTAATCTGTTAAGTTTTTTTTAACAAATTGACAGTTATAGCTAAATATATAAGCATTCCGCGTCTTTTGTTTCAAATCGACCGGCAAAGCTTCTTTAGTGGTTTACAGTACACTAATGACATTAAACTGGTCCCCAGTGTCATGAATTCGGTCGACAAAATGCCCTTACGGTTCTAAAAGACGGTAATCATCATTTTCGTTGCAAAAATTGTTGCTTCCAATTTTTGTGGGCTTGCTGAGAATGGGTATGCACCCACTGTTTCGACTGTTTCTTCGTCTTGACATTCACCAATCCCTCACAGACCTGTGGCTCATAATGTTATCACCTTACAAACAACACAGTCGACGATGAATCTCGGCGGCACGGTGACCTTCTGCTTGAAGAAAACGAAACACACAACACGAATTTCACAGCTGGCAGGAAAGGTAGTAACAGTGTCCATGTTTATTCTTTTGCGATTCTTGAATCATGGAACTAATGCGAATGTAGGTTGTTGTGTAGTGAGCTAAAGGACTACTGAAGTTTACAAGCAATGTACGGTGTCGCTATAGCAAACGGTTTTTTTTTTCCAAACACCAGCCAATCGGAGGTTGATTTTGGAATAGCCCTCGTGATGAAAATATTTGGGTAATTGTTTCAAGAACACTTGCTCTAGAAATTGTGTGTGATTTGTGGTATTTTGTATCCAGATGAGTGTAACGCGGGGTGGCTTGAGGTTGTCATATAGTTAACAAATTCTTCACCGACTTTGCATTGAACAGCTGACACGACAAGTATCTGTCGTATTTACAGACAAAGGGAGATGAGCATTCATCATCATCGTCATCATCATTTTTATCATCATCATCAACATGTGGAGTTTGAGTTGTTTGTGGTCGTGGGTCGCCGTAGCCCACGATCACCTGATTCTCTGATCAGTTTTATTCTGTTGTCCCGAATAAACCTTTTGGACAAGATCAATGTAAACATGTCAGTTTTTCCCCTCAACCTCTTCCAGTGGCGAGGCATGATCAGTTCGCATATGTTAACGTAAGCAGATAACAATTACTCTGGAGAGGGTATCACATGATATTTTCCCCGTCGCTTCGCTATTGAGAGTTTTCGCACGCAGCTAGCATCGCAGTACAGAACTAATAATTGGCAGCTTTCACACTTTACAGTTTCTGCAGAAGTAGCTTAAACATGCAGCGAGAATTATGTTTCCTTTTTCCGGGGGCGGGGGGCGGAGGCGGGTAATCGGACTGAGGTATTGTAATTAACAACAAAACAGTAATAGTAAACATATAATTTTGTTGTTGTTGTTATTGCAATGGAAAGTGTAAACAGGAATTACAGCTGTTACATGCAGGCCTAGTTGAGTTGAGTCAAGAATTGACACCACAGCATTCGGGGCTTTCCCATGGGTGTTCCGTCCTCATCTCTAGTAGCCAGTGCACGGTTCCAATACTGATGGTACCGGTCATAATCTGGTTATATATCCGTCTTGTCTTTCCTCTGAGTGTAGTAAGCCGGTCAGACCCTCTGGATACACCCAGGTGCCTCATTCTCTCTAGGCCATAATAATCTTTTTTCTCTACTGATTCTGTTGCTTGTTCCCAAAGGGCCTTGATCACATCTGCCTTGCCATGTATCAATTCATCACCCAGTGGGTCAGATCCAGCCAGTCTGTCTGCCTGTTCATTACCCACTACTGCGGCATATGGAGAAAAGGCCTAGCTACTGATGGAATTATACCTGTCTGTGGTCATGATTAGCCAGTAGCCTACGATTAAACCCTAATGGACAAGATTAATGTAGATATGTCCATGTCTTCCCTTTACTCATTCCCCATCGAGTTAGCCAGTTGTGACTCAGTCTCCCAGTCTATTTCTCAATTCTTCTCAACGTTCTCCGGCTGCCAATTCCGGCGAAATGTTCTGGTCGTTCGTCCACTTCTGGACTTTGGTTTTCTTCCACTTTGTGTTTTGCATGCACATCCGTTTTACAGGTCTAGCTTTTTAATGCGGACTGTTGCCTACTCGCCTCTCAAAGCATATGCACTCCGACTTCGAAGGAAACATCTCTTAAAAATGACTTTTTAAGACATGCTGATAGGTTGATAGTAGGTCCACCCTCCCTGCAACCCCCTCCTCCCCACCCCATTCACCCCCCTCCCTAACTTAACCTCCGAGGAAAGTGAGAAACGATATTATCAGACAGACTGGAGAACAACACCATCACCCAAATTCAATGAGAAACAGAAGATCACATCATTTGGTCATCTCGTTGGACAGTACAATAACCAACGCAGGCGCGACACTTGAAGAGATCTGATACGACAGCGAAAGAGAATACTTTTCCTCATCAAGCAATGGATCCTACACTGTTTCTCCCAATGAGGCTAGACGGCAACAAGTGGAAATTGATTATGATAAGATAGAATTAGAACATATAAATGTCTCAAATGGATGGCAATATCTCTTTGTCGGTGAATACACTTTATTTATAACAAAAAGCCGGCTATTATATAATGACGATTCTGTTCTGCATTTACAATCCGGAAAGGGATTTAATCCTTGAATTTCATAACTTACTCAATTTATTCGTGCGGTTAAGGAACTTGGCATTTGGTTGTGTTGTCCGTGTTTTTGGTCGATACTGTTATGTAATCACAATCGATGACATTGTGATTGGGCATTCCTATACGTGCTCAGTCCTCCGATGCAGCAGCAACTCCAAGGTACCTTTACCAGAAACTGACTCCGTCTGTTTACTTCAACGTACCTTAGCCTCATGCAAACAAGGGATATGTTTTGACGTTCTAGTAAATTCTGCATTTCGCAACTGAAGAGCTAACGGAATTTTGCCATTATAAATTACACATTCCTTAAGTCCTTTTTAGGACGTACTTTTTTGTTATTTGAAGCCCCACTCTGACTTTTGCCAGGGGCCGCATTATAGGCAGGCAATAAATATGGCCAATTGTCTGAACGCGGTGATCCTCATCAACATGGTGGCACTTTGTGTCATCGTGTGTTTATCGCTTGTGTGATATCCTAGTGGGGTAGAAAGTCAGTCAGTCAGTCAATTTTGCCAGGGAAATCAGCTGTGCAATATACTGTTTTTATCGTAGTCCTTAGCTACACAGGACAGAATCTTACATCTGGCTGGTGGGGCGATTACGGATATCCTTATTATAACATCTATGGAGTTTGAACAGGGTATCTCAAAAATGCCTTATTGGTCTACCGTTAAAACTAACGCTAGTCTCCCCCACAGACTTTCCATATACACGCAAGCTAACTTCTGATTGGTAGCTTCTGAACATGTCACCTTGGTACAAGGTTACGAAGGTGTTCTATAATGCCGTTGATATCGCGTGTTGTATATTTCAGCATGCTAACGCTTTTAACACTCCAAAAACATGGAGAAACTGGGTCTAACAGCCCTAGAGAGTGCTGCAACCTATGTTACAGGCATTTTCTGTCTGAAAATAAAAACGGAAATGCAAGACAACCCAGAAAGCAAACAACAAAGCGGCACGCCCGTAACCTGCACAAAAGTAGACCAGCCCAACAAACTTATGAATAAAACGTGACCTACTTTGTTTGCGGAGACAACTTAAACCTAACCGGGTCTACCATCCAATTGGATATTCTTTAAGCTCAGGACGGATTATTTTTCGATGGTTGTGATCTCTCTCGGATTGTTCTGTTCCTTATCATGGGCTACTGTTTTATACGCGCTTCCAGTGCAGGATACTATGTGTTCTTTGTAGGAGCAGCATGTTTTGTGGTTGTGTTATGTTGGAGCGGGATACTGACCGATATGTTTGGCAGACAGGACCACGCTGCCTGAGAAAGACAGAATATCGTCAGCAAGGAACTGCAACTGTCTAGAGCAGCAGCTCTCAACCTGTGGGTAGCGACCCTTTTTGGGTCGAACGACCCTCTCACAGGGGTCGCCAAACAGCACCGGAAACCACATATTCACTGAAGTTATGAAGTAGTAACGAAAATAATTGTATGTTTGGGGGTCGCCACAACACGAGGAACTGTATTAAAGGGTCGCGGAAACAGAACGGTTGAGAACCACTGGTCTAGAAAGCAAACTCGATAAAAACTGCCCCCAGAAATGGAATATGTCTAATGCGGAAATAAGTCGACACAATATAGGAGGCAATGTTTCGTTATTTTAAACCGCGCGCCGCCCAACGGTTAAACGGGAATTTTTAGGACCTCTCCCCGGGTGATCCTCATCCCCATGGTGACTGTGTCACCGAGTGTTTATCGCTTGGTGGATGCCCTGATGGGGTTAAATCTCATTCATTCATCCATGGAATATATCAACAATTTGTGTGTGTGTGTGAAATGGACACACGTGGTTACTTCAGTGTCCAAGCCCCTAATCTCAGGATGCAATGATAAACGTTTGGGTAGCATCCAGGAGAAACTTATCGATCGAGCATTATTGAAATGCCAAATCATTGTTTTGACTATGTAAAGGGGCGTGTGGAGAGATGGGATGGGGGTTGCAGAGAGAGGAATGGTGGGCAGATTAGGGAAAGACATCTGAGGGGTGAGTATCTGATAATACGCGCATGATATCATACTAGGCTGTGATTACTTAAATGTGTACATTTTAACGTGTATAAGT